TGGTTCTCTTCCCTTGCCACAGAAAGACACTGTGCTCTTCCAGGAACAGCAAATGTGTCCCTCTTGGGCCTGACTCCCTCAGCCATTACCCACTGGGGCTGTTGTGATGGCACTGTGGCCCCGGGCTGCTGCAGGAGTGGCCCTGTAGACACTCTGCACTTTCTAGGCAACAACATCCCAGATAAGATTTCTCTGTGTAGCCCTGGCTGTCCTGGAACTTGTTATGTAGACCACGCTGGCCTCAAATTCACAGAGATCCACCTGCCTCTGCCTCCCAGGTGCTGGAATATTAAAGGCGTTTGCCAATAACCTCTGACCTTCTTAATACCAAAAGCCCCCTTTGGTGTGTGTCTCCAGATTGCCCTGAAGTGTGGGTTAAGCCCATCAGACCTGAGCACCCCTGAATGGCCCTCTCCCCACCGTGGAGACTGCCATTTTGTCTCTCCTCTGCTTTACCTACCAGTGGTGGAGCAATGGAGGAGGATGACTTCCATAATGCATTGAGAGTGGGCCATGCTCAGAAGAGCAGGGAGAGCCAATCTTAAATGGCCAAGGGGCGTGGCACCTTGGTAAAACTTCCTGGTGGTGTGAAACGTGTGATATGGTCTCTGCCCCACTTCCTGTCTCACTCCTAGAGGCACCATGGCTAACAACCTTTGACTTAGGTGTCTTTAATTTAGCCCTTCTAGCTATTTGGCATCAGTACTAGTGTGCCAGGCTCTGGGTTCTGTAACTAGCAGCACATGCATGCACACACATGCTTAAACATCCATACATTCATGCACACACTCACTCACATGGGGAAGACAGCAATGGAGACTAGCCTACACGAGGTGCTGCCTCGCACTTCCTATTTGTGTTAGTTTCGTTATTTACAACTTGGACATTGCACTTTGAGCCATATGCTGCTGTTGGCCAATGTCGGATACTGTAAGATAACTTAGACTTTAATGGTGCTCTCAGCCTTCTCTCAAGTCACTAACTAGGCCCATGGGAAGGGAATTGGAGACAGATTGTTGCTGCCCTGAGAAGGCTTTATGGGGGATGTTGAGCTGGCCCAGGATCCATCGTCTTCTTAGCTGCCTCATCAGTGACCCCAAAGATCAATTTGGCTGCATTCCTTTTGTATGTGTTTGCATGTGTGAGTGGGTGTGGTTTCTGCACGTGTGTCTGCATGCAGGTGCATATGCCCTTGTAGAGCCTGGAGGAGGATGTTGGGTGTCTTGCTCTATCCTTCTCAACCTTATTCACTTGAGAAAGGATCTCTCACTGAACCTGGAGCTAGGCTGATGGACAAACAAGCTTTTTAACCCTCCCATAGCACGGTGTGTAAGGGGCTCGGATGCATACAACCATACCTATCCTTTTACATAGGTGCTGGGGATTTGAACTCATACTGGCAGAGCAAGCCCCTTTGCCTACTGAGCTGTTTCCCCTACCCGGACACATCCATTTCTGTTTGCAGTCGCTCGGTTCATGTAGAGGGCATGGGAAGTCACCTTTGAGTTCCTGCACGTGGGAAAGTGAGTCTGGATAGGTGTGCCTTTGGCTGGATTTAGAATTCCTCGTCGGCACTTTGAGGACGCTGCTGCCCTCCCCACAACCAGTATCGCTGATTCCGCTCACTGTCGCCGGGGCCATTTCTTTGCAGATAGGAAAATTTTCAGGCCTTAGGATTCTGAAGTTTCACTGGGACAGATCTAGAGGGTGGGTCAGTTTTCATTTACTGACCTGGCCTCGGTAGGCCCTTTCATCCTAAGTCATTCTCCTTTTAATTCGGGGAAATGCTATTCCGCTGTGTATATTTCAGGACGTCTCCTCTTAGAGCCACAGTTACATAATCGTCTCCCAGGTAGTTCTTGCGTGACTCTTAATATTTCTCGTTTTAAAAATTCTTCCTTTTAGAATTACTTTTCTCATTTGGTCTTTGGATAGTTTTTAACTTTTTAATCTCTTGTTACATTTTAAGAATTGAATCGCAGTTTATAAACAGTGAAATACTCATGTTAAAAATTCAAGCTGGGGGCTGGGGAAATTGCTCCGTCGTTTAAATACTCATCCTGGAAGCCCTAGGAAAAGAATCTACATCTGCAGTGTAGTGGTTAGTAAGTGGGTGGTGGGACAGCCTGCTTTTAATCTCAGTACTTGTGAGGCAGAGACAGACTCCCTGGAGCAAACTGCTTAGTTAGACTAGGCAAATTGGTGAGCTTTGGGTTTAGGAGAGAGAGACTCTGATTGGGAAAGACAGCCAAGGCCAGATGGTGTAGTAGCTCACTCCTTCAATCCCAGTGCTCACAGAGGCAGAGGCAGGTAGATAGATCTCTGTGAGCCTGAAGCCAGGCAGGGCTACATAGAGAGACCTTGTCTCAACCCACCCCACTCTCAAAGAAAGCAAATGGTTTTCATACGCTTGCATACTGGACACGTGCACACATACATGCTAAACAAGCATGAATTGGGCTGTGGCTGTAGCTGAGTGGTGGGGCACCTGAGAAGCAAGTCAAGGCTTGGTATTGGGAATGATTCCATCCCCGGTTCTTCCCAAACTAACAAAAAACATCTTTCACCACCCCCCCCCCAGGTTTTCAGTTCCAGATCCTGGCCACTCCAAAGGCAGCCCCTGTTCTGAAGGCAACCCCATTGTTATTAGTGTTCCCTATCAGTGGGTTCCCACCAGATACATGCTTATGTCTGCCTTCTTTAGTTCAGGCTGATGATGGCTACTGTCTAGTCCCACTGATGAGCAAAGGGTCAGGCGTTTGAGATTCACACAGAATGGGTTTTTTGATCAAAGTTTTTTTTCCCTTCCAGTTGTTGAGGTGTAAACTGTTGGAGTACTGACCAATGTATTGCTGTTCACCTGATGGGATCCTTCAGCCAAGTCTGGGTGGGGCTGTAGTGAAGCTGTCTGTGTGCCCATCTTTTGAGGACTCGTGTTTCCTTTCTCTGTGTGGATCTTCTCTAGGAGGGGGATGATGGAACCCAGGGCTGGTAGGAAGCTGCTGAGGGATCTTGGCCGTTTCTGTAGGTTATTTGGTGAAGCGTCTGTCTGTCTGCATCAGAAGCTCTCTCTCCATGCAGGGGAGATGCTGTGTACTGGGTATGGTTTCTCCCAGTGTGTAGCTTTGCTTTCCTTATCTTAGACAAACAGTGATTTTAATGAACGGCACAGGTTGCCATTATATTGTCTAGATTAGAGATTAACTTTTTTCTACTTACATTTCATTGGATTATGGGATGTTTTATATATTAAACAAGGCCAGCCCAGCTTTCAGAATTTATAAGAACTCCTTTCTGGATGGTTCCTTTTAAAATAGAAGTTTGCTCTTGTATATGCTGGTCTGCTTCCTGGGTCTTCATGGGAAGAGCATGGATTAGATGTTTTTGAAGTCTCTGATTGTCTTTCTGATGCTGGCTGCAGTGATGATGTCTCTTGGCTGTTTGGCTTTGTTGATGATGGCTACTGTCTAGTCCCACTGATGAGCAAAGGGTCAGGCAAGGGTCTGTGCTGTGGGGCAGGGGTCTGACTGAATGGGTACAGCTACCATGTGGGGAATAATTTCTTAACACAGTGACCCTTGTCATGACCCTATGGACAATTGCTTCTATTGGACTCTGATGACATTGTGGGGCCTTCCAAAAGGATCCTGGGGATCTTTGTTTATATTTCCTTTCAGCTCTGATCATCCCTGGTCTATCTCAAACCACCTGCTTCCTGTCTCCTGGAATTCCTCCAGGTTTCTGTGTTTAGTTGTGTTAACAGTTTCCTTTGGAAATAGAAACGCTTCTCTTCTCACACCCCTGTGGCTCTGGGGTGTGAGGCCGGGGAGGCAGGACTAGAATGTGACTTTAGGCACCAATTAGGTGGAGCTGAGATCTCACTGTGCTTGTAGAGTAGGAAGAGGTCACCCTGAGGCCCATGGCCAGTGGCATCTTATGAGAGGAGCTTGGAAGCAAAGAGCAGCCCTTAGGGGCCTGTGAGCTCTTTGGGTGTGTTTTGAGTGCCCCAGGTTGAGAACCCATTGATGGATTTGGGAAAGGGAAGGGCCAGGGTCTAGGTAAGCTGCGGGAGCTAATGATGCAGGCACTAAGAGGGCAGGGCAAGTTCCAAGATAGCAATGAGGTTTGTTTTTGTTTTGTTTTCCCTTTAATTGGAGACAGGCTCTCAGGTAGCCCAGGCTAACCTCCAAGCTTGCCAGGTAGCTGAAGATAACCTTGAACTTCTGATCTTCTTGCCTCTAGCTCCCAAGTACTGTGTGGGCCACCAGGCCGCGTTCATTGAGTGCTGCGGGTTAACAACAGGGCTTTGTGCGTGGCAGGCAAGCACTGTGCGCACTGAGCTCCATCCCTAGACCACAGTGATATGTGTTTACTGCTCTGTTGTAAACTTTGGGACAGCAGATTAGTTCTGATGCCTTGGCCAGGCACCGTGGCCCAAGGCCAGGTGGAGTGTGTTTCTTCCTGCTCCAAGGGCCTGGCTGCCTGTTCTCGGGATTGGCTTTGCCAAGTCGGTTCTCCATCATCTCGGTGCTGGTCTCTGGCATGTGTCATCTCCCATCCACTGCGGCCTCCTCCCCCCACTGTGTATACTTTAGAAGCAAACTGACCTCTCATCCCTTTAAGAAGTACCCTGAGAATGAGTGATCACTGCATAGAGCAGAGGCCTCCGAGGTGTTTGGAAGGAAAAAGTGCAAAAGCTTGGAGGCATGGGTCGTGAGCTGCTTCTGGCTTCCTGAAGCCATCTCTAGCCAAGAGGCCCCAGGCAGGGGCTGAATCTGGGGTTGTGGGGCACTGGGGGCTAGCAGTGGTGTGTCACTTGTCACTGTGGGTAGAAAGGAAGGGTGGATTCTGCTACATGTCACTGCTGGGGGACACCATGCGTCTGAGGCTTCTCCTGCTGCCCCCTCCGCCCCCCATCTTTTGCACTCTCCTGGTAGGAGAGAGAGTAGCAGCCAAGGCCCATAGCTCCACCCACCCAGTGCACCTGTCTCTGGCTCTAGGACCGGAAGCTCACCAAGCTTGAACGGCAGCGGTTCAAAGAGGAGGCGGAGATGCTGAAAGGCCTGCAGCACCCCAACATCGTGCGTTTCTATGACTTCTGGGAGTCCAGCGCCAAGGGCAAGCGATGTATTGTGCTGGTAACGGAGCTGATGACCTCGGGGACACTGAAGACGTAAGTGCTGCACGCATCTGGGCTGGGGTAGCCTTGGGTCCAGAGCTACGACAACTAGAGTGGCAGAGGTGTTGGAACGCTTGGGCCGATTTGACTGTGTCTATGATCCAGGGTCCATTCAGAGTATCCCTTTTGAGTGATATTCTTCCTCTGGGCCATGGGAAGCCTGTTCCCCAAGTGAGAAGACACAAACCGATTTGTCTTCCTGGCATTTGGCTCCCTCTGGTTTCTCGTGACAAATGAGATTGGTTCTCATGACCACATGACTGTTCCCACTCTCCCTTCCTGTGTGGGACACTGGAAGGCTGTTTACTTCCCAATGACATGGTCCTTTTGTCTGTTCTGTCTGGGACCTTATTTCTGGCCAAGGTCTGTTTGCCTAGAGGCCAGCCTGGCACGTTCCAGTGTCCTTGGAAGCATAATGCCGACGTTAAGGGCCAAACACAAGACAGCAAGGGGTTGGGGGCTAGGTGGCCATGTCAGTTTGTCATTCTTCCCTGATGTCTGTTCTATGGGGGTAGAGGATGTCCCCTCTGGGTGGCCATAGCTTGGGTTCCTCTGAATAGTTTTAACCCTGAGGCCCTAAGTAGGACCTTGATGTCCTCTGCTTCTGCTCTCACGTGAAGATTCAGTGAGGAAAATCCTAGTTCCCACCCTCACCTATCACTTCCTCTTGAGTGAAACCAGGCTCGTTACAGGTACCTTGTAGCCTGGCCTTCTTGACCTTTGACTGTAGGTATTCTAGGACCCTGCCACGTTCGGTGGCCTCTTATCACATACGGGAGATTAGGGCTGTGCTTGGCATGGGTTTGGTAGCAAGGTCTTCAGTGCAAAGAGCCAGTGGAGGGCGGTGATCCTGGCTCGACTGCCTGTTCCAGGCCTGGATCCCACTGAGACACCCTGGGTAGGGGAAGAGCTGTTGGCGTCTTTCCTTTCCCTTCGCAGTCTGTCCTACGAAGCTGCCAAATGCATGTGGCTGGGCTCTGGCAGACAGGTGCTTCTCAGGGTAGCAGCAGGTGAGCTGCGCAGTGAGCTCTACCCTTCCCCCAGGTACCTGAAGCGGTTCAAGGTGATGAAGCCCAAGGTCCTGAGAAGTTGGTGCCGGCAGATCCTGAAGGGCCTGCTGTTCCTGCATACAAGGACACCCCCCATCATTCACCGAGACCTCAAGTGTGACAACATCTTCATCACTGGACCCACCGGCTCTGTGAAGATTGGTGACTTAGGCCTGGCCACCCTTAAAAGAGCATCATTTGCCAAAAGTGTGATAGGTGAGCCTGTTTCTTCTCCCTAGGCCCAAAGGGGAACCACAGGGCATTTGAGGAGCCACTGTTACCTGGTTTTGCTCAGACCTGGTACAGACAGACTCTCTAAGCAGTCCCAGGATTCTGGTAACTCAGCCAGAGGACCTGCCTAGTGGGAAACATGCTTCCAGCTTGCCTGGAGGTAACTGGCTCTATTTCCCACTGAGACCCCTTCTGTCAGACTCAAGGCCGGCGCGGTCTCTGCACCATATTCCTGGCTGTGTTGGGTACCGCCAAGGGTGATGGGCCAGATGCCAACTTCAGAGCTGTGGTGGACGCAGCGGCTGCTCAGGAGAGGAAGCAGTATTGCCACAGAGGAATTACACTGCTTGTGGCAGGTGGCATTGGAGCTGTTCCAGCAGTCAGGGAGAGGAGTACCCCAAGGCTGTGCGATGCAAAGAAATGACAACTTAGTATGTCTGAGCAGAAAGATGGATCAGAGGCCCAGCATGGTGTCTACGTGGTGTTAGAAGGTGGTGCTGGGAGTTTGGGTCCTTGGCTCCTGGCCTCTCCTCCTCTGAGAGATATCCCTGGCCAACTTTTGGGGGATGGTGCTCTCAGTCCTAAGGATAATAGCCTATAGCTGTGTGCAAGGATAAGGGGGTCTGGATCATGTGTCCCCAACTTCAAAGTGACTAGCCTGGCACTAGTATCTACCAGATACTGGGGAGGGTTTTGTGGTCGCTAGAAAGAACATGTAGAGGGGTTGCAGTAACAATTGCTTTGGGACTCTTAACTGTCTTGAAATCAGGTGTGCTGATTACCATCAAGGCTGCTTGCCCACACAAACAGGATAAGGAGTGGTTGACCTCAGGGCCCCACGAATAGTTTGGGGAGCTAAGGTGGCCTTAGTTCTTGGAGAACTGCTTTATTTGCAGTAGTGTCTTTGGAATGTAATATTTAGGGTAGCTCTCTGGGCAATGGCCCTTTGGAACCTAGATCTCTGGTCTCCTTACCCTGGAAGAGTAGAATGGTAGGGAGAGCTGGGACTGACCTAAGTCTCGGTTTCCTGTCTGTGACAATAGGTGGGACTAGGCTGGGAAGACAGCTAGTAAGAGCCCTTGAAGCATAGCCATAAGGACATGAGTTCAAATCCCCAGAAGCTATATTTTAAAACCCAGGCATTGGGCTGGAGAGATGGCAATGCAGGTTAAGGGCACGTATTGCTCTTCTAGCGGACCTAAGTTTAATTTCCAGCACCTGTACCAGGTGGCTCACAACCGTCTGTAACTACAGCTCCAGAGGCTTTGGCTTCTGTTAGCACCCTCGCACACTTGACACACACGATTTAAAATAAATAGTATGTGTATTTTTAAGCCAGACATGGTTACACGTACGGCTATAACCCTAGCACTTGAGCGATGTGAGAAGATTGCTGGGACTTTCTGGCCACCAGCCTTGCCCCAGGTTCAGTGAGAGATCCCATCTCAAGGGACTAGGTGGGGACTGATAGGGTAGGACACCAGACATCATCTTACTCTTACCATACACATATACCACACATACACACACACAAACGCAAGCTTCCCTTCTCATACTGGGGGCTCAGGGCCGTGGGGGTGTTAACCCTGGCTTTGAGCTCTGCTGAGTTTCTAGCCAGGTTTTGTTTTGCCTTGGATGTGACTCCGGATTGCAGGCCTTAGACTCTGACAGGTTACGGGAGGGCCCCTCAGGGTCACCCACCTCAGAAGTAAACCTTCAGAGCAAGATTCGCTCCACTTAAGGAAGCTGAGTCCCCATGTCCCTGTGAGCTCTTTGCCTTTTTGGAAACAAGGCTTCCTTCCCGTTCTTGGGTGATAAGAATGAGTTGAGATGAAGGCCGGGTATTTCTGGCAGGACTAGGAAAGTACCTCATGAGTACGCAACCATGTGGGGCGTCCCTTGTCACCCTGGCTTTTGTTTATCGAAGTCCAGGAAGCTAGAGAGGTTAGGATCAGGAGGGTGCTCAGATGCTTCTGTGGGGCAGGGGGAAGCGAGGCTTACTTACGGGGATTCCCATGGGCACTGACTGGGGAGTCCTGTTCCCCACAAGTGCCAGCATCTGGGCAGGACGAGGCCAGGTGGGGGCTTCCCCAGGCTTGTTACCCAGGTATCCTCAGGTTTTGCACTGGAGCTTCTCCTTCGGCCTGTTAGAAGGAGATGAATGCTGGTTCTCAGGTCACTTTCTCCTCTTACATAATCTAGGGTGCCAGCCCATGGGACGGTGCTGTCCAAATTTAGAGTAGGCCAGACTCAGTGAACTCAATTCAGAAACCTTTTCACAGACATGGCTAGAGTTTGTCTCGGGTGTGTGTATGTGTGTGTATCACCCTGGAGCCGTTAGTGCTGTGGACCTGTTTCTGCTGCAGGCTTTGGCATTTCCCCTTGCAGGCCCTTAGTTTTTCCCTTGAGTGCTCAGGTTGGGGCCAGCGGCTGCCTGCTCCTCTGGGAGCATTGTGTGTGTCCCTAAGTCCAGGTGCCATCCTCAGCTTAGGACTGTGATTACCTCAGGCTACTATCGTCTTTATTTTGTATTTTTTAAATATATAGTTTTAAAAAGCCAGACCTGGTTACATACACATCTGTAAACCCAGCACTGCAGGCAACATGGGCTCACACCTCACAGTGCATTTCTTGCTGCTTTGGTGGGGCTGGAGATCCCCGTGGTCCCTTTGCATGGTCTGAGAATGAAGCAGATGCAGTAGTGCCTGTGTTATGTCCCAGGCAGAGCCCTGGTGCTGCAGAGGTGTTTGACCCATAGGGGCCTTCTTGGAGGTTGTAGGGAGCAGGAACTGACTGAGCCCTTGCTTTGCTGATCTCTGAAATAGTGGAGCCAGGTGAAGGCCTAGGTATTCTATCCTGAAGACCAGGGCTCAGGCCTCTGGGGAGCACACCCTGGTCCTGACCTCTGGGCAGTTTCCAAGCAGGTTTTGTAAATTTGCCCTTGAAGAGTGACATGGGAAAGAGGCCAGTGCGAACGGAGGATAGCCATTCTCAAAGGAGCCTCAGGCCAGCCCTGGATGGGCATGGCATGCCAGGTGGAGAGAAGGGAGGCCGGGCTGTTGGGTACCATGTGGATTTAACAGCAAGTACTTACGAGTTCCAGGCAACGTAGGGTCCACCTAGGAGGTGGGAGGTGGATTCTGCCAGCCCATTGAGGAGATGGGCAAGGGCCAGTTGTTAATTTGCTCTTGTTATAGAAAAAAAAAACAAGAAGATAAAGGAAATCTAGGAAATGGAGCTTTTGAGTCCCATGAAGGGAATAATTTGTCTTTCATTACAGACTCAGGGTACAATTCTCATGGGCTATAGGGCTATTGTAGTGTTACACTTAAGTGGGTCCCTACCTACTCCCCCACTGCCAGGCTTTGGCATACGTTCTCCTATTCCTTAGGGGGCAGGGATGCCATGAAGCCACAGCTGAAGTCACTTCTCTATTGGAAAGGAGAAGGTGGCCAGGGCCTGTGCCCACAGGGGTGTTGCCTGACTCCGGCTTGAGGAGCTTGGAGAACAGTGGTGTAGGAAAGTTCCCTAGCATCTGGCAAAACAGCTGGGCCTAGGGCCGGGGTGGGGACCAGGGGATTCCTGGCAGCTGTGCAAGGCAGCCTTGGGCTGAGGGTGAGGTAGGTTCTCTGCAGCTGAATGTGAAATGGCTGGGTGGGGCAGACATCTGGACAGTCGCAGGTGTGTATGTGCATGAACACACGTACTAATTATTTCTAAAATTCAGATCTAATTAGTAAGACGAAAAGGAACAATGAGTCAAATGCACCAATGTCCAGGAATTATTGGGGCCTCCTGTCCTGGATCAGGACTAGTTCCAGCTCAACCCAATTCCCAGAGCCAGGCCGTCTGGGGGTCCTTGGTTCTTGCTGGTCCCTACAGAGTTCAAGCCCAGGGATACTGCTATCTCTTCACCCTGATGCCATGTGGCCACCTCATGAGTAACTTCTCTGCTGGAAGAGTTGGGGTCCCTGCATGTGTTAAGAAATGGCTGGCCTAGCTCCAAGTCCTGGGAGCCTGGCTTTTGTCACAGTCCTCTCTAGGGCCCAGGACACACCCCTGCAGTCTCTTTGTTGGCCCCTCTAGCAGGAAAGGGCTTTGTGGTTTCTCCCTTGTTATCACAGGACAGCTTGTCCCACACAGTTTCTGGCAGAGGCATCACAGGGTGGCATTATGGGAAGTAGAGGTGGCCCTGGGGAGGGAGCCCTTCCTTCCCGCAACTTGGGGTTTCCGGCCAAGTCAGTTGCCCTGTTCACTGTGTTCCAGCTGCCACCATAGTAGACCCTCCTCAGTGGTCACTGTGTTCTAGGCTCACTAACCCCTCAGGATGTGCTGGGGTGGGGAAAGCCTGGGCTCTGATCCATTTGTAGGCTACCCGTCTGGGACTTCTCTGCCGTGCATTTTGTGGCCTAAGAAGTTCATTCACTACCCTATGACAAGGAATGGAACGAAACTTAAAAATATTAAAAATTAACAGTGCCAAAGACTTTCAAGAGACAAGAGGATCAAAGTTCTCAGCACGAGGTCTCGTCTTGGTCTCTGTCATTTCTGATGGATTTTTTTTCTACATTTCTTTGTTCTTTTACATAAACCCAAACATGTAGTTTTTAGTTAGACTCGCAGTGCATATTAAACTGAAATAATGGGCAAGAGACCCCAACATGGAACTGCTTAGAGGTTAAAGTGTTTGTCACCTAAGCTTGAGAACATTCCCTAACCTGACAGTGACAGCCAGGTAGAGTGGCCTGTAATCCCATTAGCTTCGAGGCAGAGATGGGGTCCTCAGAGCATGCAGGCTAGCCAGACTAGGTGAATTTTAATGAAAAGGTTTTGAAACAAATACTTGGTTGCTGTCTGTCTCTGGGTCCACTGGTTAACTAGCTTACTCAGCTCTAGAGGCGTGAGAGACCCCGACTCAAAGGTAAAGGAGAAAAGCAGATGCAGGAGACTGCACCCGAGGAATGACGTCATGAGATTATCCTCTGGGTTCCACATGCATGTACATACACACTCGTGCACATGGTGGCCATGACAGGCATTACTTCACTTTCCTTGTGTGTGGTGTGTTACGAGTAGGCCTTGTCTCAACGTCTCTGTGGGGTGTGTCAGGTGGATGCCATTTGCTCACTGCCAAAGTGATAGTTGCACGCCACACTTATTGTTAATTAGACCCCGAAGACCCAGTCATTCCCCTCTCTGGGGATCCTCAGGGCCTTCCTGGGTGTTTGCAGTTAGAGCCAGCTTTGGGGTAACCAAAGGTTTTTGCCATCTCTGGGGAGTCTTGAGAAATGGCTGGTGCTGACCTGTTTTCAGAGGTACAACCTCCACACACAAGCCAGGGTGTGCTCAGAGAGTAGGTATGCCCCCCCCCCCCCCCCCCCCCCCCCCCCCCCCCCCCCCCGGAAGCTATGTTCTCTAACCCTGTGGCTTGAAACGGCACTGAAAGCTGGTGGCTGGCCCTAGCCATATGATGAGGTTTTGGACACTTCGGTTTGTCGAGAACATCTGCTTGAATCCTTGGGGGCTGTCAACCTTTCTGGCGTCCTGAATGTGCCACAGGACGGATGAGGAGGAGGCTGGGAGAATCTGTGTGGCCAAGGGGTCTGATCAGTAATGGCTGTGTTCTCTGCTCCTGGTGCAGGTACCCCTGAGTTCATGGCGCCTGAAATGTACGAGGAGCACTACGACGAGTCGGTCGATGTCTACGCCTTCGGGATGTGCATGCTGGAGATGGCCACCTCAGAGTACCCCTATTCGGAGTGCCAGAATGCCGCCCAGATCTATCGCAAGGTCACCTGTGTGAGTCCACTCAGCCACCTTGTTAGTAAGGACACAGCCTTGGTTAGTCCTTCGGGCAGTTGTGTAAGAGAAAGGGTGAGCATGGGCACCCTAGAGTGGGGACCCCGGGCTTGCCTGGGTGAGAAGTCCAGTGAAAGGATGGTACTGTGGGGGGTGCTTAGCCCTGGAGGCTGTTAGCTGTGTGGAACCAGGAGACCAAGGACGGAGAAAACTGAGACTTGAGAGACCGAAGCTCTGCTGAGGCCTCCGTTCAGGAAGTGAGCCCCATCTTCTTTATCTTAGATCCCCAGTTTGTTTTCCTTTTTGCCAAACCATCGTCTTAGCCAAGCACGTCTCTGGGCAGCTGTCAGCACCGGGCAGCCTGGAACCTCAATCCCTGTTTTGCTTGTCACTGTGATTTCTGAGTTGATTTGAAAGCTTCAGCTGTGCAAACAGATTGGGCTGTCCTTTCTCTCTCTGGTGACCCTTAGGCTGGTGGAACAAACAGCCTCTGAGGTGGAGCAGCTGGGTCAGGGCTCTACTGTGCTGGCTCTCATGGTGTGTCATCTCTGTGCTCTTGGAGAGGCCAGCAGGCCCTCAGGGTATTCTCTGACCTGGCTTGTTGTGATCCCCTGTCCTTCCTGCATCCTCCTCAGGCAACCCAGTGGGACCCTGTGCTTTGTCTCCACTCCAGGTGCCTGGGTGGCAGAGGTTACCTCTGCAGGTATGTGTGGAGCCATGCATGGCCCAGGCACCCTTGTAGCTCCATCGTGGGCCCAGCCACCTTAAGGAGCCCTTTTGCAGATGGTAGGCAGCTCTTGCCTTTTGCTCTTAGATCCAGCGTATGTCACTTAGCTGCCTTGAGTCTCCCTGTGTGCACTATAGATAGGTGGTGACAGGCGAGAGTTCTTGGCTAGAGCCCTGGCCCAGAAGCCCACACAGGTATAAAGTTACTCCAGGGAGGCAGGGGTTATCTGCCAAGCAGGGTGTTGAAGGCCTGAGAGATCTTGGTGCTATTTATGTGGCATATGGGAAAGGAACCTTGGGCTTCAGGCTTGTCTTGTACACAGTAGGTAGCAGTTTGTCCTCTGGCCTGGGGACAGGAAGGGGCATCTTGGGCAGAAAACTGCACACTCTGGATAGCAGACAACACAAGGCTGGTCCTTCTGGGCTTCTTTACTCTTGTCTGCCCCAAATGGGACTTCAGCAGCCAGGTTCAGAGGGGTATTTCTGCCCTTTCTTCTCTCATCCCCTTCGTTCTCCCTCCCTCCTTCCCCTCTTTCCCTCTTCCCTTCCTTCTTTCTGTTTTATATTCTCCAGATAAAACAAAAAGGACAGGGATTTTAAAGGCTGAATCTTGCTGAAGGATGAAGCATGGGAGGGTTGAAGCTTTCAGTGTATTTTATTTTTTGTAATTAGTTGCTTCCTTCCCCCTGCAACTGAGGAGATTGTAAAGGAACCCTGCCAGCTCCTGCTTCTGATAGGGGAGATAGATATCTGTGCTTTCTGAGTGGCCACTGGTTCCCTCTCCCTTGCAAATCTCTTCCTGGCCTGTGGCCAGAAGCAGTGGCCATAAACAGTGTTCTTGACTCCCTGGGGAGGGGCTGATGTAGAGAAGAAGCCCAGGTGTGGGTTGAAAGGCCTGACTCTGTGGGAAGTGTGGAATCCACTGTAGCTGAGGCTCTTCACCAGGGGGAGGGGCAGCTTGTATGGTAGAGCCTGGGGCTCTGTCCAGAGGCTCTGTAGCCAAGCTGAGGGACAGCTTTGTGGATGCCCACTGCTGGGTCTGAAGCATCAGCATTGGCATCTACAGGCTGTGCTGAGTGTTTTTGCCAGATGGTGATCCTAGTGACAACATGGATGGGGGGCCCTGGCCTGAGTTTGAGCTGGGGATGCTCTACACCCCCAAGATGTCCTCTATTCAGACCCGAGTAGTAGGAACAATGGCTCCTGGCCTTGTGCTGAAGGGAAGAGCTTAGAGGGTCACAAGGCTTTTCCCTATTCTGCTTTCAAGCCTAGGGCTTGAGTGTGTTGCATCCACAGGCCTGGAGTTTCTCCCCCACTCCTCTGTGTGTGTTCACCTATGCAGGCGTGTGTGGGGCCAGAAGTTACCAATGTGTCTTTCTCAATTTGCTCTCCACATTATGTTTGAGACAGGGTCTCTTACTGAACCTAGATCTGAGGACTGGTTGGCCCATGAGTTCCCAGGATATGCCTATCTCTGCCTCTCCCAGTGCTGGGGTTATAGGCATCAGCCAACATGTCTGACTTTTCCTTGAGTGCTGGGCATCTGAACTCTGGTCCATGTGCTTCCCCAGCAATCATTTACTGCCTAAGCCGTCATCTGTCTTCAAGCATGTCTCATTTTCCTTCACTGCCTCCCATCCTGTCCTTATGGGGGCTTGCTTTTATATGTAGTATGTGCCGGCCTGCACCTCAGTAGTGTCACCAATTCTGAAGGGATGGGAACAGAACTGTGTGTCTGTCTGTCTCTCTGCTCCATGCCCAATAGCTCCCATTGCCCTGCCTTCTCTTCTGTGAGGTTTTCATCTCTAGTTGGTCCTTTGTATCTATAATTTCTGCTTGTCACCAGATGTTTTTTTTTTTCATCTACTGCACAGCTGCTATGAGTTTTACCCCTGCCCCTTGTCTCCAGCTTGCAGCATGCTCTCATTTCTGTCGACTTGTTTTTCTGCTGTGTGAGGAGTTAGTGTTTTCTTGCATCCTAGCATCTCCATTAGTTTCTGTTTATTTGTGACACGCTGTACCATTACAGCATCCCTGCTCTGTGTAAGATGTAGGAATGGCTCAGCCTGAAGGTCCTTGATGTTTCTTTGCCAAGATCTGTGGTGCTGACTAGGTACTCATCTTGGTTTTAAACAAAAGCTTGAGGAGACTGTAGACATACAGGCTCTTTATCACTCTTTCCTTTCCAGAACTCTGCCTCATAGCCTCCTCTGTTTCCCTGAACATAGCTCTACCCTCAACCCAATGAGGCCCCAGGCTCTATTGGGTCTCAGGACTCAGGCTGAGAAGTGCCCTGGGGAGCTGAGCCAGGGGAGGCACTGGGTTGTGTTGATGGTTCCTCCAGCTCTGGGTCATGCCAGATAACTCTTCTCTGTTCTCAGGGCATCAAGCCAGCCAGCTTCGAGAAGGTGCATGATCCTGAGATCAAGGAGATCATTGGCGAGTGCATCTGCAAGAACAAGGAGGAAAGGTGAGCACCGTAGGCTTGAGTGAGCTCGGCACCGTGGGCTCGGGTGAGCTCTGGCACCCTGGGCTCCGGGGTTCTCCAGCTGTCGTTTTGGGCCACATTCTCTGTGCAAACTTCCCAGGTCAGGCAGGCTGGCTCAGGCTATGTGACACCGAGCTTGAGAGTAGCTGTGAGCCGCGTAACACTCACATCCTTTCCTGACTCCTGAGATAGGCTCCTGATCCAGCCTCGAGTGGGCACCCAGACCTTTGCTCTGTCCTTTGCTTTCTCTCTAGTTGTTCCCACGTCCCCTTAAGGAACATCTCCATCCTAGGTTTCTCCTGAGCCTCAGCCCCGTCAGCCCTTCTGAACAGCAGGCTGTACATGGGAGTGTACTTGTTACAGCCGTCTCTCAGGCTGCATATTTCACCTCTGGACCCCCGAGTTGTTCTACAAACCCAATTCCTCTTCGGAACAGGATTGGTCTTCCCAGCTGGACAGCCAGGAAGCTAGGGTTGCCTTTTAGCCTTCTTAGCCCTCAAAACAATCTGGGATGTACTCACCCATCCACGTGATCCTCAGGGATTGGTAGGGATGGGTAGCTGGCGTTCGTTGCCATCAACACGATGCCCAGAGGAAGCCAGCTTTATGATAGAGGATGCTGTATGATAAACTGCATTTCTACTGGAGAAAAGTCCAGACACAGTAGTTAGGGACGTGTGTTTGGGAGGCATGACTTTCTGGACCTGGAAGTGATCATGTAGCAACACCTAGCTGCCAGATGACCTGGCCGGCTGGGTTCTGGCTCCGAACCCCTAGGTCTAGCAAGTCCTTACTTATGTCTGTCTGCCTCTCTTCTTCCACACCCCTTCCTCCCTACTGACCTCGCTGCTGCAGTGAGGTTCAGGGACCATGGATTCTTGGTGTGTGGAGGATTCTACTTCCTCTCGTTTACCCTGAGCCAGGAGTCTCTGATGAGGATCGAACACTCACCTGTACCTCAGCAGGATCCATTTCTAGCCTAGCAGGTGGCCTGGCACAGAGTATGTGTGTGTGGGGGGGCTATCTTAAAACATGATTGCAACAAGAAACAAAAGTATATCAGATCCTAATTTCTCAGCATTTCCTGGGGATTAAGGAATGCTCATGTGCACACCTGTGTCCTGCCCCTGAGGGCAGAGGCTGCCCACCAGGAATGAAGTGGAAGAACTTTCTAGCATAACCTGCTCAGCGTGCTGGGTGCTGACCTGATATTGTACCTGTAGATGGGTGTGGAAGCCCCTTGTCCCTGAGCCCTGCCTGGGAGTCACTTTCTCTCCAGGTATGAGATCAAGGACCTGCTGAGCCATGCCTTCTTCGCGGAGGACACGGGCGTCCGGGTGGAACTTGCAGAGGAGGACCATGGCAGGAAGTCTACCATCGCCTTGCGGCTTTGGGTGGAAGACCCCAAGAAGCTAAAGGGCAAGCCCAAAGACAATGGAGCCATAGAGTTTACCTTTGACTTGGAGAAGGAGACCCCTGATGAGGTGGCCCAGGAAATGGTAAGGTGCATACAAAGGGGCTCAGAATACCCATGGGCGAGTTTGGGATAAAACAAAATTGAAAAAAAAAAATCACAAATCAATTGCTTTTCCAGAAGGGCATGTGCCCCCAGGGGAATGGCCAGCATGCATGGGAGGGTCGGGGGCAGTCCTGAGAAAGGGCTTGGAGTCCCTGTGGTGCGGTCAGGTGTGTATGTGTGCAATGGCAGGAAGGCTAAAGCTCTCCACTGCACAGGCCCTGGGAGACAAGGTGAGCATCTGGGACACAGTCCAGGGAAGGCGTCTGATGCCAAGGGGAGAGTGACAGGCCCTGATTGCCTTGACCAAACGCTCTGCCAATTTGCTCCAGGACTGCGGCTTTGAACATGGGGTTTGTCCCTCCTGCTTTGGGGATATTCTTGTTTTGTTTTGGGTTTTGGTACTTTGACACCTCAAGGGGTGATAGAAGAACACCGATGTGTCCCACTGCCTGTCTGTGGGTGAGGAGGGGAGCCCCCTTTTCTGCTTGGAATGTCAGACTGGGCCTCAGGAAGGGACATTGAGCCTGGTGGGGTGCCAGGGAAGGAGAAGGAACAGAACAACCCTTACAGGGCAAGGCGTGGCTTGGGCCCAGGCTCTGCAGCACTGCTGTGGTACCCTAACATCTAGAGAGGCGAGTAGCCAGGGCATAGGGATTTCTAGGGCCTGGATGCCAGACTAGATTATTCTACTCAGTTCTCTGGGCCAGCAGCATCCAGAATGGTAGATATGACACACAAGTACCTGCTAAGATTTAGGTAGTTTAAAATTTAATTGCAGTTTAAACTTTGGTCTCATTGGCCACATTTCAAGTGTTTAATACTGTACAAGATAGGTGGGTGACTCTTCAACCATGTGGGACATTTTCATTATAAACGACTTGTACCACTGACATGCTGCTCTGTGTCTGAGGGAAGTCAGAGAGAGAGAGAGAGAGGTGTGTGTGTGTGTGTGTGTGTGTGTGTGTGTGTGTGTGTGTCCTTACCAGGTTGAGGAATGCGTTTGCAAGGCACAGAGGTGAATGCCTGGTTGCCTGGTTTCAGGCTACAACAAGCTGAGGACACCATGCTTGGCCAGGAGACCAACATCTGTGCTGTTGGTTACAAAGGATGAATCAACTTAGATAAGAGTAGAAGGATGCAGACATGACGATCTGTGTGGAGACAGTGTAAGCAGCAGAAGCACTCCACAGGGGACGGGAGTCCAGAAAGGCCTCCAGGTGCAGTAAAGGAGGGGGCAAATAGAAGTCAGGATGCCACTACTATCCAGAGGGAAGACAGCAGGCATGAACCAGAGCCTGACATGGCTGTCACAGAGGTTCTTTAAATTTATTTTACAATAAGATTTTTTTCTTTTTTTGGAGGTACTGGGGGCTGACCCTAGAGCCACTCTGTCTCTAAAGTGTATTTCAGCCCCCTTTTACTTTTATACCCCCCACTCCCCGCTAAGGTTTGAACCCAGGGCCTTAGAATCCAGTTAGGCAAGTGTTCTACTACAGTGCCATGCTGCCTTTTGACATTTTATTTTGAAACCCTTCTCACTAGTTTGCCTAGGCTGACCTTGAACTCACTCTATCTCAGACATGCCTTGAACTTTTGATCCCTCTGTCTCAAGTCCCCAAGCAACTGGGATTATAGTCTTGCACCACTATGCCCAGCTCCTAAATGAGCTTTCTATGAACAGAGCACATCTATTGAAAACTTAAGTCTCAAGTCACAGAATGATGGGTTCCTTGTTTCTCCTGTCAGGAGAAGTGGGCATGTCCCTGTGGGGCTGGTTTCTCCTGTCAGGAGAAGTGGGCACATCCCTGTGGGGCTGGTTTCCTTGGAGTGTGTGAGTGCTCAGGTCAGATGAGAGGGGCTCCATGGGTCTTGTGTCCACTCTGCCTTAAGACTACATTTCTACGGCATGTGGCCCAGGATACATGGTGGGTTTCGTTTTTGTACAGAGGTCAATGCAGGAAGGAGAAATGGCCTGGCAGCAGGGCTTCGGCATCCGTGACTCCAGGGGAGCTGGGGTGGAAAGGAGACACTCAGGATGAGCTTAGGTCCTGGTGCCACAGCCGCAGGCTGGAGTGCTCCTGGTGAACCCTCTCGATGTGGCCTTCTGAAGTACAACTGAGTGCAGGGTCTCACCTCCAGCTTCTGGAGGGAAAACAGACCTCCAGGGCTGCCAGTGTGCTAGACAGGGCTGTATCTCCCCTGTGCAGCAGCTGTGTGGTGTAGTAAGGATGAGGATGGATGTGACGCATTATTGCTGAGCTGAAGTCTAGGCTGGCTTCTCTGGGCAGGCTGTACCATCATCTCAAGATACACAAAGCAGTCACCCGTGTGACCAGGCCAACCCACTTTCTCAAAGCTTGCCTCTGATCCCATTCCAGGCAGAGGAGCTTCTACTGTGAACACATCTCACAGGACTCTTTAGCTCCATGCTTCTTGGGGGTCTTCCGTGGCTCACAGTGGTAGCCAATAGTAGCTAGATATGGTACACTGTGTTTTTCCAATTCAGTTGTCAAGAGTGTATACATTCAGCCAGCTACCCGCACACGTTTCTATTCACTGATGCTAACAGCTGTCATTCCATGCTTTTTATTGAGAACAGTAAGCCTTTTGTGAAGTGGCATGCCCCTACAGACAGTGTGGCAGCTGGAGTTAAGTGTCAGCTACTTCCTGAGAGCTTACTGTGGACACTGTGCTGGCCCTTGGTACTGGCCTGGGAATGATAGACGTGGGAAGGATTGGAGGGAGAGTCTCCTGTGTGTGTCGAAGGAAGAAATCCTGGGGAAACCACACTGTTTTGGCCTTGCAAGGAATGTCTGTTGAGGCCACCAGAGTAAGAACAGGGATCATAATTGGTCATTGTAGTTTCAATATGGCAGAGTCTCTTTAGGTAAAAATAACATGCTTGCCTTCATAGATGAGGCCAGCGCTGCATTACAAATGTGCTTCTGCCTGCTCTGGACTGGGCCAGGCAGGGCATGAGGTATCTGGGAGCAGAGCCTTGGATCAGGGGCTACAGGGATATCTACAGTGTGATAAGGGGCTGTTGGGCTCAGTGTAATTGATTCCAGCATGGATGGTTCTTCCAGGATTATGCCTCAGCTTCTCATTTGTAGTCAGTTCCCTGAAAGACAGTGTCCTAAACCCAGGTGAACCCTGTGCGCCCTGCCTGGATGCTGCTTCACTGCTTCCAAAGCAGTTGACACCCAAGGCTCTATTGTGTCTCTGCTTGTCATCAGGTGGAGGACAGGACTTCCCACAGGATAGGGCTACTGTGGGTCGGTCACCTTAGCTGGTCCTTGCCTTTTGGCTGAAGTCCCAGGCTATGTTCCTGTATTAGTTCCAGGGAAGTCCCTGGGCCCAGCACCTTCTTGTGAATCTTCTCCCCTCCCACACCTTATCTCCTTCTCCTGCCTCAAACTATGTTTTATTTCTGTTATAAGGCATGGCATCTATAAAAAGGGCATCCATGTAGAAAGGACATGACTTGTATCAACTTAAAGAATAATAATAAATGCCAGATGGTGGTGGTACACACCTTTAATCCCAGCACTTGGGAGGCAGAGGCGGGTGGATCTCTGAATTTGAGACCAGCCTGGTCTACAGAGCAGGTACCAAAACAACCGGGACTACACAGAGAAACCTTGTCTCAAAAAATAATGTAGTAGTAGTAGTAGTAGTAGTAGTAGTAGTAGTAGTAGTAGTAGTAATAATAATAATAATAATAATAATAATCAATGTGTATCCCCACTCTGGCAAGCCTTGTCGCCACATGTTGCAAATTGAAAGCTCTACATTTTCCCTGTGAGGGCTGTTTTGTGAACAGCCACACATGGCCCATCTCCTAACTCTGTCATGCTCTTACTGGGCCTTAGGATGGGTCCTGGACCCTAGGAAACTTGTCAAGGTTCCAACTTTGCCCTTCTTCATTTTGCGTGTTTAAAACCCTAAGGTCATTACTGTCCAGGCCACCAGTCCCTCCCTGGGCTGCAGAGAGAGTCACCAGTTAGCAACACTTGAGTCTGGCTAAGATCCTAGACTCTGGAGGCTACACAGGTGTGAGGTGTCGCAGGCACCCCAGAATCCAGATGAGACCTGCTGGAGCCACCAGGAGGGGGATGAAGATGAAGATGTGTTATAGGGTGGGGATGTAGGTCTGCATGGCAAAATGAGGTTAAGTATGGCAGGTTCTCGGGTTACTGGGCAAGAGGCAGCTAGGCCCATCCTAGAGGTGATGGAAGTGTTGCAGAAAATGGAAATAACTGTGGCATATGTGAGGGGTGTTCTCTTTGCCAACCCTGGTCAGGTAGTCCTTGCCCAGGAGAGACATGGAACCTCAGAGCAAGCATCCTACAAAATGGCAAGAGTGGCCACCTGTCTTTAATATGAACTGAGGCTGCTTGGGACTTTACGGATGGCATGCTTCCTGCCCTGCTGGCCGCCTTTGTAGACCTGCTCCAGGGATCAGCACCTGCCTTGGGCCACTCACTCTGGATCACAACTGATGTGGGTCATTCTAGCCTGTCCAGCGCCAGCTGCCTCACAAAGGTCTCTGTGGTCGGACTTGAAGTCCCTAGAAAGAGGCTGCTGTGGTTCTAAGGACAGAAGACCTCTCATCTGGTCTCCTCTGGAGTCTCATCTCTGGGGGTGTGGACTGTCCTGTTGTTGGGAAGATGGCAGCTGAACCACAGGCCCTGAGAGTAGGCGATACCACAGAGGATTCTGTGTCCTCTGGCCTCCCCTCTTTGAACCCTTTCCTTGGCCACATACCCAGACTGCTTATGCCTGTGCTGGGGTCAGTGAGGCTTTCACCTAGGACATTTTCATGGGGAATCTCTCTCACCAGCATAATTGTCTTTCAAAATAAACTGCTTTGAGATGATCTGGACCAGCTCCCTGGGAGGACTCCCACCTCTACCACGTACTGTTTGAGAGTGAGCTGCTGCTTAGCGCCCATCACCCCGAGTGCATTCCTGCCTGTTGTTTCCTATGAAGCAGGGGTTTTCCTGTGTTCAGAACCTAAATGTCATCAGCACGCCACCACCATCCCTTCCCCAGGCTGCACAGATCTTTGGTGTCCAAATGTTGGGCCACTATTACGGGGCTCCTCAGCTCTTCAGTCCCCTACCTTCTGTGGCCTGACACTTGGGAAGAACTCAGATGCCCCCTGGGGTAGGTGATACACCCTAGGAATCTTTGTCACTGCGGCCTGCCTGGGGGCACATGCTTCTGTCCACTCTGTTGTGGAGGATACTTGCTCTGAGGGAACACTTCTGCTTAGATGTTGGCAACCTCACAGCAGACTACCCCAGCTATACTGCTCAGAGTTCTCCAGCCTATGCAGTCCTCAGTCTGGGGGGAGCAGGTGGCTTAGGGCCTTTCATGAGGCACAGTCAGGTGTCAGCCAGGGCTTGTGGCCGTGTAGCAGAGTTTCCTGCTCGTGGGTCTCCAGAGAGGGCAACTTATGATGTGGCTTCACCCCGAGCAGTAATGTCTGAGAGAAAAGAGGTGTGGTAGGTGTAGGGACATGCAGAGAGACAGTTGTGGAAAGAAAGAAACAGAAGGGGTGAGTGAGACCCTCCGTACTTCCCTACCTATTCCATAGGATAGATGTCCTCCTTGCTCCCACAGGTGGTCTGCAAACTGCTTGTACAAACCGTGTGCTGGGATTTGCAGGAATGCCCTTTACAGCATCACTGTGTTGCTGCTCATTCTGATGTTCCCATGTCCTGGATTTGCCCCAGTACCAGCTCCCATGCCACTTTGCACGTCCCTGTCCTTCCCTGAGCATGTCCAGGCAGTTGGCTCGTCTTCCTTGACCTGCCCAGCCCTGAGCTACTGTGCCAGGGGCAGCTCTGGTTTCCTGTGGCCTCTCAGGATTGTGGATGTTGTTGCTGGGCCCTCAGGGTAGACACACTTGACGGGGACATGTTATCTGCATGTTTATACACAAGTGCCATCGTGTGCCTCTAGGTTCATCCATGACTGTCTCACTGATAGTACGGGGACCAAGCAGTGCCATGGGTCTATTCCACATTCCGGCCTTTCTGTGTGGGAGGAGCCTGGCTGTCTCAGGCAGTCACCGCCCTCTGACTGTGCTGCCCATCACACGTGTGCTTTGTATTATGTACAGTTCCCACACCAGGACACCCCTGTTTCCCTACCCTGCAATGTTCCAGTCAAGAGCCCACCTGATCTCTTTTAAAATTTATTTTTCTTGTTGTGCATGGGGGTGCACACCTTTAATCCCAGCTGTCAGGAAGCAGAGGCAGGTGGATCTCTGAGTTCAAGGTCAGCCTGGTCTACATAGCTAGGGATACACAGTGAAACCTTGTCTTTTAAAAAAAAATCAATTTTTTTCTTTTAAAAAAAGATTTATTTTTAGTTTATGTGTATAGGGGCGGGGTGGTGGCAGTAGTGGTAATACACACATGTGTGCAGTGCCCCCAGAGTCCAGAAGAGGGTGTTGGATCCCCTGCAGCTGGAATTCCTTGTGAGGTCGTGAACTCTGGTCTTCTTCATTGAGTCCTCTCTCTAGCATCCCCACTCAGTCTCTCTAGAACTGAGGTCTTCATGAAGGGAAGGAACCCAATCCCGACTCTTCACTAGTCGCTATCAGCCCCTGTAGTCCAGCTAACAGAGCTTTAGTAGGGACCTGTGTCTCAGGAAGTGACTTTGCCACAGATATTCCCAGTGAGCTCACTGTGTTTCCTGGAGATCGTGGAATACTCTGCTGGTGGAGGGGGTTTAGGGTTTTGCCAGGCCCAGATGGTCCCCATACTGCTTGCCAATGACCAAATGGGTCTCCTCTTTCCAGGTCAGGGTTTATGAGGTCAGTGAATATTTGCTGGGCATGAACTGCCACCCCACCGCTGGAGCCTTTAAACTTCAAAGGCAGGCATTGGGAGTCGGCACTCATGAGGGAACTGAGGAGTCCTGAGAACGGAGGCGGTAGATAGTAGGGTGTTACGTGTGTGTAAGTAGTGCGTGCAAGATGGCTGATCCCCAGGATGCTTGACCTTGTGTCTACCTTTGCAGATTGATTCTGGATTTTTCCATGAGAGTGATGTGAAGATTGTGGCCAAGTCCATCCGTGACCGGGTAGCGCTAATTCAATGGCGGCGTGAGAGGATCTGGCCTGCTCTGCAGTCTCAGGAGCCAAAGGACTCAGGCAGCCCTGACAAGGCCAAGGGTCTACCAGCGCCCCTGCAGGTCCAGGTGACCTACCATGCACAGAGTGGTCAGCCTGGACTGCCAGAACCTGAGGAGCCTGAGGCTGACCAGCATCTCCTACCCCCTACCTTGCCAGCTAGCGTTACCTCCTTAGCCTGTGAGTACCTGGAATGGGGTCACCATGGCCAACTGTGTCCTTCCTTCTACCACAACCAGCATAACCAACTTCAGGGCAAAGCCAAACAGAGTCCTTATCTTTTATTACAAAACTCTGTGAGAAAGGCAGGTACCTGGTAAGCTCCTGCCTCAGTCTGGTGAGCCCCAGTCTGTTCTCAGGTAACTGGGTCTGTTGGTTTTAGCTATAGGTGGTCCCCTGAAGCTTCGGTCTCCTGTTCCAAGGTCACTTCTTGCTAGCCACCTTGGTGCTAGGGGACATGGTGATCTTTTAAGGGGTAATAGGGCTAACAGATGGCCCCTAGGTGCTAGGACACATGGGTGCTGGTCCTTGGCAAGCCCAGGCTTGTTCCCCCTGCCTGCCCTGTAGGGTGTGGACGGTTGTTTCAGGGAAAAGATTGGGTTTTCAGTACATTCCTCAGTGACTCCTGACCAGAGGGGTTAAAGCTTGCTAGAGTCTGGCTTCTCAGGTCAGATGTCCATGGCCTCGTAGGCTCTGATAGAGCCATTTCCACCTCGGCTTCACATTGTCAATCTGTGGACTGGCAACTGGTTCTTTATTCTCTGGGAGGATCAGTTCTGGCCTCATCAGGTCAAGTGAGGTACCATCACCCAGTCTTTGAAGTGGGTGACTGTGCAATGGACTGAGTGGTGGCTGTCTTAACTAGGGTGCTTATCACTAGGATACTAGCAGAGATAAGAGATAAGAGTATCTCTGCTAGTATCTTCTATAGAAACCTCTGAGACCGCTTGTCCCTCTACAAAGAGTTGTTTTTCTTGAGGTAGATTGGATGCAGGCTTCATCGGAGCCCATCCTGAGAGGATCCAGGACTTTTTCAGGATAGGCGGTCAGTGCCCTGCTTGCCTTCCGTGTTCGAAAACTCAGCAATGAGCTGAGACAGGAGACATGGCTTTGCCCACTTTGTGAACCAGCCTGGAACAGATCAGCAGGGCCCAGTGACCTGCCCGGGCCAATATTTGAGATTGTTCATGTGGAAAGACTGAGACCCTGTTTATTTAATATGCAGCCCCCCTCATTCATGGCTCCAGTAGCTTCCAAGACGACTACTTAGATGCAAATGAGCAGCCCTCACTTTGAAGTGCTTTGCCCACTATTTACTGCTTTCCAAGCTGAGCTCTGCCTCTCATACCCGGTTTGGGATCTCTAAACAATGTCCCTCTTGTGGTCAGATGCTGAAGGTCGGGGTGACCCAATATGAGAAAATCCCACGGAGATGGAGAGAGAAAAGGCAGTGAGCTCGTGTTAGGTGTAGGACGTCTCTGCCACCAGATCCCTTTCCTGTGTGACTCAGGACACCCAAGGGCTAAGCACAGAGGCCGAAAGCCTTCTCAGAGGGCTTTTGCTCACTAACTATATATTTTTTTTTAAATAGATGGCTGGTACTTATCTTTCATAATTTTAAACCCCTAAGGGTTTGCAGGCAAGTCACTTACCCTCCCAGAGGCAACAGATGCTGCAAGTCTTTTAACTGCCTTCCAGAGATGATCTGCATATATCCACATGTGGATGGACACAAACACACACAGGCAGATAGCGCTCTCTCTCTCTCTCTCTCTCTCTCTCTCTCTCTCTCTCTCTCTCTCTCTCACACACACACACACACACACACACACACACACACACCTGTGTTGGGGGGGTACCTTGCTACATGAACTTTCAATATTCTTGCACCAGCAGCCCCGCCTAAGCTGAGCAGGTAGCTTCTACTGCCATAACACTTGTGTTGAGGACCCTGACCGCACAGCTATTGTGGGGGGCAGTAGCCATCTCCAAAAATGAAATTTTAATTAGACAAGTCATCTGTACAAATTACTTGCAGTATTTAAAGTGTTGCACACCTGGCGGGAGATGGTGCCTCTTGAATCTTGTTAGCCTGAGGGTCGCCTTCTTTTCTTCTCCCCCTCCCTCTTCCACTCCCTTCCCCCCCCCCCCTTCTGTCTAGGTAGAAATGGTCACTCTAATGAGCAGTTGGCTCATTAAAAACTAGAGCTGCTTGTCTAATTGGTTTTGCCCAATTAAACATCAGCATTCCTTATGTTTTCCTAGGTTGAAATCACTCTTTGGAAAAATTGGTAGTGCAGAGCCACAAGACTCGCCCCTCACTTGGCTTAAATCATCAGTGGACAGAGTACTCACTCTGAAAGGCAACCCCTTGTGCAAATAGCTGGGTGTTTTGGTGGCAAATTGTAAAGCCTGTGGCTTTTGGAATCTGGAAGCAGTAACCTCAAAGTGCTGTTTCAGATGGGTTTCTGGGTTTCATTCTTCACTGGCTGACTATGTGGGCAGGCTGTCTTGCCAAGTACCATCTGAGAAGGGCAGCCTCTGCACCTGCAAACCAGAGTGGGCAGGGAATGACAGGATTTGCTCCCAGTGGGCTAGCTAACCTTGCCTACCCCAGCGTCAGGCCAGGGACACAGGAGGCCTGAGATCTCGTGCTGCTGCCTAGCAGGTAACAGTTTAAACAGTATTCGTGAAAGCAGCCCAGACCTAGTCTTGATGAAGGAATCCGGGAACAAGCCATTCCGCTTGCCTGAAGCACCAGGGAGATGGCATTTAGAGGTGTACACACTAACTTCTACTTTGGTCCTCCCCAGCGGACAGCACTTTCGACAGTGGCCAGGGCTCCACTGTGTACTCGGACTCCCAGAGCAGCCAGCAGAGCATGGTGCTCAGCTCCCTCGTGGACACGACTCCAACCCCAGCCTCGTGTGTGTGCAGCCCCCCTGTGAGTGAGGGGCCTGGCCTGACCCACAACCTGCCTGCACTAGGGGCTTTCCAGCAGCCGGCCACTGTGGTGAGTTTGAGAGCCACCCTGCTCTGTCCTCTTTGCCTCTTGTCTGGACTGTGCTATGGTCGGGTTAGAGTGCCCTATGGTCGACTCCCAGCCACATTTCCCTTGGAGACCTGAAGATGCAATTCATCTTTTCTGGGAGCTGAAGAGCTATAGGCTGAGGGGCCTTAGATGTGAAGAACCCCTGGATAAAGAGTATGGAATATCTGGAAACAGACCTTAGGGTAACTGTGACTCGGAGAACTGTGATAGAACCAACCAGCCTTATCCTGAGGTTGTCACCGGTACCACACAGGTGCATGATGCTGGCACATTGGGGTCTTTCCTGGTCTATCCCAGAGATGACAGAAATGTATCATTTGTGATAACGGAGCTTTGGAATTTGTCTCTGTCCATTCTCCTAGGGAATAGCCGAGACCCCCTGGCATGTCTCCCTCAGGTAGCGGAGCTGTTGAAAGTTGGGGATGAAAATGGGGTTGAAGCAGGGAGGCATTTTCAGTATTTGCACAGGGCACCAGAGGCTCAGGCTTTGAGGATGTCTGACAGGCAGTGTGTGAGATCTGGGAAGTGGATGATGAAGGAGGGGTCAAGCAGGACATTTACTCTGTTTTATGTTTGTGTCTGTGGCATATGCAGGTACACACACCCTTGCATGTACACATGGAGGACTGAGACCCATGTCCAGAGTCTATACCTTACTTTTTCAGACAGGGTTTCTCACTGAGCTTGGAGTTCACTGGCTGGCCAGCAGGTCCTGCTGTCTCCCACCTCCCAGCACTGAGCACAGGTGTACTCTGCCACTTGCCCTCTTACCTAGGTGCTGAGGATCCAAACTCAAGTCCTTGTGCTCCCATGGCAAGCCCTGTCTGTGATTGTTGCCTTTTTTCTAAACATTGAAAAATGCTTGTTTCACAACCCTAAGAACTCAGCTTGAAAATTTGCCTGTGACCTGAGTGGTGGAGCTGGGTCCTCAGAGGGTGATTTAGACCCCCCCCTGGGTGGGTTCTGTCTTCCAGGGTCACTTGGGAGCCCCCACCTGGTAAGCTGGTAGCCCCTGTTGTCACACAGTCTCGGACCGTGATGGCTTCTTGGCACAGACTGAACGCTAGTTCTGCGATCTCTGTCCTCTGCACACGCAGGCAGGCGCTCTTCTTCCTCATGTCCACATCGGATTGAGCAGCTAGAAAGGCCCAACAGGCCTTTTGGAAAAGCAATTGACACCGTGGATCGTGTCTGCCTCTGCTTCTCTGAGCCCTGGGATTCACCGTGATGCGCACATTTGCAATTTTATTTGTAATTTTATTCATTTCCCAAAATGAAATGAGGTTTGATTTTAAATGGCCGGAAGACCTCATGCAATAGGACTTGCTGCCCCAGAGGCTGCTCGGCTAGGGCTGAGCCGGAATGTCCTGCCTGCCTCTCTCACACCTTCAGTCATGGTTAGCGCTACCTTAGGCCTTGGGATGTACTAGCTGCCCTGGTCCTCACCCCATCCACGCTGACCTATGCTTCCTTATCGACCTAGCTGATCTTACTATCCACATGTTAATCAGGAAACTGAGCAGAGAGATCACAACTGCAGACTCGGGCTAGGGTTCTTGGTTCTCTTTCCCTGCCTCCTGATGTAAAGACAACTTAACACAGGAAGGATGGCTTGTGGAGGCTATATCCCGACCTCTTGATGTTTCTGGAGAAGGCCACTATGGTGATATGCGTCAGGATCCAGTGGGATAAACAGACAGGGGCAATGAGGAGGAGGAAGAGGAAATGGAAGACCATCAGGAGTAAGGGGTCACTAGACTCTGCCTTAGCTCCTGAGCCATGGATAGTGGCCGGAGCTCATAAATGGACAGTCTGTCCTGGCCTGGTCTAGTTGGACCAACTCATCTGTCTATGGTTTTAGGTGAACCCAGCTTTGAGACGGGATCCCAAACGTGCCTGCTCCCCACATTCTTGCCCAGAGCACCAGGAAAGGGGAAGTGAGAGTGTTTTAGAGATCCCTGCCTCTGTGCTATGCAGCACATCTTAGAGAAGTCTGCTGGAGAGCAGTGGACATCAGTCCCTCTTCCGAACCATGAACTTGGGTTCAGATATGTTCCCCACAGCCTTCTAGTGTCCTCATTGTTGTGAAGTAAATCCTGGACAACCAGAGATTTTCCCATAAGTACTATGGGGTCTGTCTCTGCACAATGAATATGGTTGGAGAGCTGAACTTAGCAACATGGGACTGCAGAGGACATGAGGTTTGTTCCCAACACTCACGTGGTGGCTCCCGACCATCTGTAACTCTAGTTCTATGAGCTCTGATACCTAATTCTGGCCTCCTTGGGTTCCAGGCATGCGTGTGGTACACAGACATACATGCAAGCAAAATATCATACACATAAAAAAACAAAACAAAGTCCAAAAAAAAAACCCCAGAATATTGACAAAGTAGCAGCCATTCCTTAACCTCGGCATTCTTGGGCTGATTTCCTGTTCTTTTGCTAGCTGCATGGACCAGTGCCCTCCCCGTGTGCCTCCCTGTTTCTGTCCCCTTGTGACTGAGTCTCAGAGGGCCTCTCCTTGCCAAGGGCCTCGCTGTTCTGGTTTTGTTCCCATGGCTGTGTGTCCTCCCCAGCAGCCACAAACTGTATGATCCCATCTCTCCATATGCATTGGCTCATCCTTCTTAGTCCCAGTCGTCACTGGAAATGAGCTGCCCACAGTCTAAAGCCTAAGGAGTCTTTCTCCACGGTGCTGAAAAACCTCTATGATGATCTTTTTACATGGCTGCATAATACTCCATGGGACTTGTGTTCTAGAACATTCCCTGTCTGGGAGCTGTGGCCATATGATGTGGCTTTTCAGTATTGGTGATGGCATTGTAGGGCCACCACACCTGGCTTCTGCTGAGTCACCTTCCTGGGAACAAGGTTCCTGGTGGGGAGGGGGCTGGGCACAGGGACAAGAAAGAACAAGGGCAGCCGCTGAATATGGCCTCTATATTCTCTGCAGCCTGGCCTGTCAGTAGGCCCTGTGCCACCCCCTGCGCGCCCTCCACTCATTCAGCAGCATTTTCCAGAACCTTCCATGAGCTTCACTCCTGTACTACCACCACCCAGTACCCCTGTGCCCATGGGCCCAAGCCAGCCAGCACCCCCAGTCCAGCAGGTAAGTGTGACACTTCATTTTATCCCCTTAAATTGTTCCCTTATGAGGGATAGTTCTGCAGCCAAAGCCTCTAGTGGCTTGGGTGAAGGATGTACCTGTGAGAACATTAGTGTGTGTGTGTGTGTGTGTGTGTGTGTGTGTGTGTGAGAGAGAGAGAGAGAGAGAGAGAGAGAGAGAGAGAGAGAGAGAGAGAGAGAGAGAGAGATCTGTAGTTTGTAATGCAAGATGCAAGGCCTGCTCATGGAAAACTCTGTTTATTCAGAATGTTTTTATAAGCTGGCTCCAGATTAGCAGGAGCTTGGCGGTCTGCATGTGTTTGTGTGAGCGGTGTGTAGATGTATATTGTGAATGTAGTTCACTCTGTGTATGTGAGTGTGATGTGTGAAAACATGCAGTCATGAAGTTATGCGGTTGTGTTTATGCAGTTGATGTGGCTGTGCGTGTGAATCCGAGTGTGTATGTGGGAGTGTATATGCAGATGAATGAGTGTGAGCATATGAGCACACATGCGGGGGTCACTGTGGATTTCTTTTGTCTCTAAGCACAAGGCTCCCTTTCTTTCTCCAGCCTCTTCCAATGGCCCAACCACCTACCCTGCCACAAGTCCTGGCCCCGCAGCCCGTGGGCACTGTCCAGCCAGTGCCCTCTCATTTGCCTCCATACCTGGCTCCAACCTCCCAGGTAGTGGCCCCTGCTCAGCTGAAGCCTCTCCAGATGCCGCAGCCACCTCTGCAGCCTCTTGCTCAAGTCCCTCCACAGGTACCTCTGGCCCATAGCCTGCTCACCTTGGGTGGGTACCAGGACATGGGCTGGGCCTGTTTATGTGTGTCACCAGGGGCCACTGGCTAGGGATGTAGACTTGGAGCATAGTGTCATACCCTGTATATTATATGTCTAGTGTTTCACGTCTGCTCCTGTAACTACTACAGCAGGCCAGGGACCCTGGGGACAGCCTCCTTCGTCTGGTTTCCCTCGTCCTGGGGCTTCACCTCTACTCTACCCTGGCAAGCTGTCTTCCCAGACTGAGATGCCTCTGTATGAGGGTGGTGTATATAGGGTACCTCAAGGAGTGGGTGGGACAGCTGTCATTTCGCCATCTACTGGATTGCTGTCCAGGATGGGGGAAGGGCTAGTCCAAGCCAAGGACAAAGCTCTCCTTGTGACCATTGAGTGGGCATAGAAAGCAATCTGCTTCAGATGATTGTCCAGCGGAGCTCCAGGAAGTAAGCTAAAGGCCACTCCTCGCAGGTGTGCTTGTCACTGCAGGTGGCGTTAACCGGTTTCCCTGTGCATCACAGTGGATTTGCACGTGTTTGTGCCCTCGTAATTGTACAGAGGGGTAGTTGACACACTGCTTGTGAGCAAGCAGAAAGAAAGCATTGCTTAGCGGATAGCTATCGAGTAGAAAGTGTTTAACCCGCCCCGCCAGGAACCACCTGATACTGTGAGAGCAAACAGAAGGTTTTAGATTATCTGCTGTTGAAAGGCCGAATGCCACAGGGAGTGGCATTGCCTCATCCATCAAAGAAGGTTATACTGAGAACTCTCCAAGGGGCTGGCTTCCATGGAGTTCACAGGATGAGACTTCAGGATGAGACGCTGGGTGACTGGGCCAGCGTGGGAGCCTGGATAGTCTCAGTCCTCCCAAATGAAAGTGCTCCGAAGCACCAGAGCCCTGTGGTCCTTCTCTGGTTCCTCTTAACTGAGCGCTCCTGACTCCCTCAGAGCTACCAGCGCCTTGGAAACCTGGACACACCGGCCCCTCCATGCTGGTGCCAAGGGAGAGAGTCCAGCAGGCAGGTCGCCTGTTCTGCTTGAGCACGTTTATAGTGCAGTACAGTGACTTGTTGGGATCATCTCTTTGCCAGCAGCTGTTTGGGAGACTGAGCCACTTCCCGCTGATGCTGTGGGCCCCTGGATGGCAGCCTGACTAACATGCCACTGTACCTTTTACAGATGCCTCAAATGCCTGTGGTTCCCCCCATCACTCCCTTGGCCGGACTCGATGGCCTCCCTCAGACCCTCACTGATCTGCCAGCTGCAAATGTGGCCCCTGTGCCACCACCTCAGTATTTCTCACCTGCTGTGATCTTGCCAAGCCTCACGACACCCCTGCCCACATCACCGGCCCTGCCTCTGCAGGCTGTCAAGCTGCCTCACCCCCCAGGAGCACCCCTGACTGTGCCCTGCCAGACCATCGTGCCAAATGCACCAGCTGCTATCCCCCTGCTGGCTGTGGCCCCGCAGGGTGTGGCTGCACTGTCCATCCATCCAGCAGTGGCCCAGATCCCAGCCCAGATCCCGGCCCAGATCCCGGCCCAGCTCCCAGCTCAACCTGTGTACCCAGCAGCCTTTCCACAGATGGCATCTGGAGACATTCCACCCTCACCCCACCACACGGTGCAGAGCTTACGGGCCACCCCTCCACAGCTGGCCTCACCTGTGCCTCCTCAGCCTGTCCAGCCCACTGTCGTCCATCTACCTGAGCAGGCTGCTCCAACTGCTGCCTCAGGGACCCAGGTAATTCACCTGTGGGAGTGGACTTACCATTCACTACCTGGAGACCGTCAGGGCCAGGTTTCCTTTACAGGGCCATGGATCCTGTTAGTACCCAGACTCAGGGACAGTTCTGTCCTGTGGCTAACCTTTAATCTTTTTAAAAAATTGTTTTTAGATTTATCTATTTAATTTTATGTGTATGAATGTTTTGCCTACATGTATGATGTATTTGTACCATCTGTGTGTCTGCCTGGTGTTGGCAGAGAGCAGAACAGAGTGTCAGATTCCCTGGAACTAGAGTTATCGATGGTTGTGAGTCACAATGTAGGTGCTAGAGAATTGAATCCAGGTTCTCTGCAAGAGCAAGTGCTCTTAACCTCTAAGCCATCTCTCCAGCCCCTGGCTGATCTTTCTTATGAAGAGAATGTTGGGACAGAGGCCTGAGCCAATGCAGAGCATCCGCTGCCTTCTCAGGAGCTGTGAGCATCAGGATGGCTGATGTGTTCCATGCTCCTTCCCTGCTTCTGCTTTGTGGCTGAACACTCCCTCACCTCGTGCCAGTGCTGGCCTGAAGTGGATACTTGCCTCTGTGGATACTTGCATGTATCCCAGGCTAACCTTGACCAGAAGACAAAGCAAGGCAGAATGGATATTCCGATTTGAACAGAGAGGAAGCAAAACAGTAGTAAGGGGGTATATGTGCCAATGGGCTCCCTGCCAGGTGGGAGATGATTCTTGCAGGACAGGTAACTGCCCTGGTGCCAAGTTGCCAATGAAGGGATGCTGTGGAGTGTAGGGTTACGTGCCTTGTGGCAAGAGGCCTGCCATTGTGGCTTCACACACCTGCCCAGGACATTCATGTTTGGAGTTCCTGCTCTATTCTGTTTGAACCCAAATGAGGGCAAGGAAGAACAGACCTGATGCTTCCCACTTGAGTCTGCTCGTCAGAGGCCTTCTTTACTTGGGTGTCTCCCACCAGATGCCAGGTGAAGATGCTCGCTCCACCTGGCAGCCCCCCCCCCCCGCCCCCAACACACACACTTGAGCATCTATCTTCCTGCCTGACAGTTTTATCTGGGCGGGGGCAGTCTCTGAACCTGATCTCGCCTCAACTCTAAGCCCTGCCAGCTCTGAAACTGAGGCATAGCCCTGGCCACTTGAACCTCAGGTTCCTCTGATGTGGACCAGCTCCTCCTCCTGGCTTTGCTGCGAAGAGTGAAGGGTCCAGGTGCTGTGTGACTCAGTTTTGTGCTGCGCAGCTTGGGGCTGCTCACTCAGAGTGTGTGCTCTCACCCATTTCTGGAGGCACTGGTGCTTGGAGATGGGGTGGGCATGGTGTTTATTAGCCAGCAGAAAGCATCTGTTTAAAACACCAGTGGGATGAAGCATGCTGGTCGTGTGTTCTCATGGAGTGCGGTACTAGAACGAGAGAAGGTGTCAGTGACTGCTAAGCTCACTGATTAGGTAGGGTGAGGCTAAGCAGCAAGAGAGCAGGGTCTAGCACCATCTGTGTGTTCTGGGCCTTGTTTTCTGCTGCTGACCTTTCTGGGTTCTGCGGTTGCTAAAGACTGGTGAGCTCTTCAAGTGATGTTCAGTACGCTCAGGGTGACTGGGGTATGGCTACCCCATGCTGTGAACGAGGCAGGACGCTGATGTCCCAGGGAGACAGCCAGAGCCCAGCCAAGATACTAAGTATTATTCTTTTAAAGCGGGTGTGTGTGTAGACAAACACAGGACAGACAAGACACGCGCGAAAGGAGGAGACACAGACACGCGGCTCCCACGTGGGTGCACTTTAATGGGGAGGGAGGGGGACACGATAAGAGACAGGTGTGCAAGACACACAAGGGTAAAGGGCAAGAGAGAGCGAGACCTCGTGGAAGCTCGCTTTTTAACGAGAAGCGCAAGGGTATCTGGGAGAAATGTCCTGCACCTGTGGTATCCGTAATCCAGGAGGAATCTGGGAGCTGTAGTTGCCAAAAGGAACAACACTAAGTGTGTGTTGCATTTTGACTGTTTGCCTGGGCTTTTTCTGCAGTTCCTGGGAGTGTAGGTCTGTGTATTCCCACATGGAGGTGTCTGAGGAGGCTCATGCCTGTTTACCTCTTCCAAATTTGCATTTCAGATGTGCTGCTCTAAGACAGGGATTACCTTTGGGGAATGTGTGGATCAGAGAGATAGTCCTTATCCTCCCAAACCTGTGTGCTCACTGGTGCCTCTGGGCACAGCCTCTGCCGCTGCTCCCTGGTACCCAGCCTGCATCTTATCCCTTCTGCCCCCAGGTCCTGCTGGGCCACCCTCCTTCGTACACTGCGGATGTCGCTGCTGCTGCTCCAGTCTCTGCTGTGTCCCTGCCACCTGCTGTCCTTTCCCCTCCTCTGCCAGACACTTTGCTGCCTCCTGCCCCTGAGCTCCTGCCCAAGCTCCCCAGCTCCCTGGCCCCCACAGTGGCCGCAGCCTCTCAGAGTGTACCCACCCAGACCTCTACGCTACTCCCGCCAACAAACCCACCTCTGCCCTCTGGTCCTGCGGTCGCTGGTCCCTCCCCTGCTGTCCAGCTGATGGTGGAAGTGGCTCAAGAGGTGTGTGCCCTTATTCCCTGCTCAAGCCAGCCGGGGGGTAGGGGGGGTGGTCAGCTCTAGAGGTGAGGAAGGCACAGTGTGCTCTGGGACAGCTACTCCAAGCTGCTCTGCCTCTTTGTCTACACTGGCCCACATCAGGAGGGAGAGCATGAATTTCAGAAATGGGTTTTCCTCAGAGAGTTTATACAGGTTGCCCAGGGCTTTCACAACCCTGTGTGTTCTTTTCGGGGGGGGGGGGGTGATCAAAGTAGGTTAGCGATTTGTGGAAGGAAGCCACCCTGGGTTTCAGGAATCTGCTTGCCTCTAAGCCTTTCAAAGTCACGGCAGCCACACACTGGGCCCTGTGTGGAGAGAGCCTCAGAGGAGGTGGGGAAGCAGCTGCATGCTGTGTCTGACCTCACCGAGGCGAGGCAAGGTAGGTCGGCACAATGTAACCCTGTTCTCTGTACTCTGCTTCTTATTTTAGGAGCAGGCTTCACAAGACAAGCCCCCTGGCCCCCCACCAACGAGTGAGAGGTACTGTTCTCCCTTGCTTCCAGGATGGATTGTGGGGGGCGCAGGCTCAGCAGCCAGCTCGGCCCAGCCCAGCACTGCTTGGCATTTTTGCTCAGTTTGCCAGGACACCATCAGGATTTTAATAGGTGTTACCCCCCTTTTCCAAGTCTGACCCAATAGTGGCTCAGGGACCTCTTGCTTGTTATCAGCCCCTGCTGAGCTATGCCACCTGGCACTAGTCTGTGTCAGTGCAGGGTGAGTTCTGGTTATTGTTGGTCCCTGCTGAGCTGTGCGTCCTGGCACTAATCCTCGTGCCGAGGACATTCCAGAAGGGGAAGGCCATGGGCAGAGAGAGCCTCAGTGCCCTCGGGTATGCCTAGGTGCAGGTATTCAGGCTTCTCCTGTGCTCTGGGGTGGCAGTGTCGTTCTTACGGAGGTGGGTATGGATCCCATCATCCCAGGGGACTGGGATGTTGTGGATGCAGGAAGCTTAGCAGACTCCACATCCTCACAACAGCTTAGAGCTCCTGGTTCCTTGTTTGCTCAGATGTGGGAAATGAGGCATGTTAGACCCATTTCACAGGCAAAGGGCCTAGAGAATCAGGCTGTACAGCCCACCAAAGGGAAGGTATGGGTGTACAGGGTGGGTACTGGAGGAAGAGCATTTTGGGATCCCCTTGTAGGCTGGATGCCATCTCTGTAGGTCCCAACTTTAGTTAAAACCCCAAGGCTAGACTGACTAGAGTGGATTTTCTGGCTCTCCAGGTGTGCTGTTAAAATTTTTGGTTTTCCCCTCAGCTTTGGAGCTTCCGATGTCACCTCTGGAAGAGACCTGAGTGACAGCTGTGAAGGCACCTTTGGAGGGGGCAGGCTGGAGGGCAGGGCTGCCCGGAAACACCACCGTAGGTCCACTCGTGCACGCTCCCGGCAGGAGAGGGCCAGTCGGCCTCGGCTCACTATCCTGAATGTGAGTGGCTGTGGTTTGGGGTACATGGGTGTGAAGTCCTCTGCAATCTGATCGTGGCTTCCTGCAGGTGTGTAACACGGGGGACAAGATGGTGGAGTGTCAGCTGGAAACGCATAACCATAAGATGGTGACCTTCAAGTTCGATCTTGATGGGGATGCTCCTGATGAGATCGCCACATACATGGTAAGGCCGGGTCGGGATGAGGCCACCTCCTTGAGGTCCTTAGACCCTTGTAGGAATTAACATGTTGAATTTAGTCCTGCATGGAGGTGTTTGGGTGGCCAGTGCTAGGCCCAGAGCTTAGCAGCTATCCCCAGAGCTGTGGGTATCCAGGTAGAACATCACCTACGAGGGTTTCTGTGGGTTCCTTCCCCAGGCTCATGTGTAGGACAATTCAGGGATGTTAGCCACACCTTTTCCTGCCCTTCTGAGGAAAAGGAGGAACTTGCTGGGTGACCTGGATAAGCAAATGAAAAATGTGTTCCCGGTGTTTAAGGTCCTGTGCTCCCTGCTTAGAGTTGTCTGTCCGCCTCCCCAGCTTCTGAAGTATAGACCCAGGTTCTGGACTCCTTCCTTGATCCCTGTAGCTTTGCCAGCACCTCCACCTGGTGCTAGCTCTCTGCTGGAGAGAGCCCCTGGGAACTCCTTCTTACCTGCAAACTTTTTAGATTCCTTGCCTATGTTCCCAGGAAATACTGCTCTGTCCCCAGCACCTAGCTCTGCCAGAAGAGGGGAACTTGCATCTCAAACTGTCTATGAAGACAGAAGACACTGGCAGGAAGGGACCCATCCGCATCTACCAGACTCCCTGAACTATCTGTGACCACAGACGTCCTACAGCGGGACATGTCCTAGACCCCCAGTCACATATGTTCTTGTGTTCCTAAGGAAGCAGCTGGCATTGGGCCATCATACAAGTATATCTAGCAGGATAGTGTAGCTATGTAGGGGAATATGAAATTTAATTTAAAATAGTATAAATAGCCCCTACTGCACGAACAGCTTAGTTAGATGTCAGCATACGTGGCCCTGCCATTATATCACCTGGCCACCTTGGCCCTGGCTTCATTCAGTGTGGATATGAGTTTCTCAGGAAAATCCTGCTGTCTGTTCCCCAGAGATTCCTCTGACAAGCTCTTCCTCAGGCCAAGGCAGACCACAGTCCCCTCAGGGAGAGAGAAAAGATGATTCCGATGCCTGCCATCATGGTTGGGAAGGCCGGCCAGAACTATTGCAGCAGACAACAGAGAACGGATTTGCTCTGAACAAAGCAGGAATGGGGGCAGGGGCAGGACATACCGCTCAGGAACAGGGTGAGGATTAGGAAAGTAAGGAAAACAGAATGCCAAGGCCAACTGGATGGTCAGGTTATGAGAACACTGAGCATGTGTGCCCTATGTTCCAGCCACTGATGTCCAGGATGGTCAGAGAGGGTCACCTGGCCCTCTCCTGCCTGGAACAGATGCCCATCCACACTTGTGGTGAGCCCTGCCTTCATCTCATTGGCTTCAAAGGTGCCTCTACAGCTATCAGTCTCCTAGAACTGACATCAGACACTCTGTAGCCAAAGGAAAACCCCTGCTACACCCATTAACCTCATCTTTGTGGGGGACGTGTCAGAGGTTTTAACATCAAAGTTGGTGACAAGGATCTTAGTCAGACATGGCGGCCGGGGGTCTCTCTCTTGACTGACTGAATGGGACTCTTGCTTTAACTGAATTAGGCCCAAAGCAGAAGGGACCAAGGCCTGGAGAGGAGTTATAGGAGATGCCTGAATCTAGTTTGGTTAGAGAGGGACCCTCGGACAAAGTATCTGACTGGTTTCTTGCGCTATTACCCAAACTTTGAGACCACACACCTCTCTTGACTTGTGTGTGTGTGTGTGTGTGTGTTTCACTTAAATTTATTACAGATAACCTGTAATGAGGATGATTTTTTTGAATTTCACATTGAAGTTATCTTTATATAAACCCACTATAAGGTAAAGACAGACTATCGGAAGACTTTAACAGATACCCCGCCAAACAGGGTACCTGTGACAAATAAGAGTACGAGAGAATTTCTCAGGTCTTGACAAAAATGACATAAGCAAGGATGGATTTGATTGGTTCACGTTTCTAGGGTACAGTCCACCCGATGGGGAAGTCACCACAGGGGAAGCATGAGGCAGCTGGTTGCAACATTGTCTCCAGTCAGAAAATAGGGAGAAGTGAAAGCAGGCACTCAGCTTCCTCCTTATAATATAACCCAGTCCATTGCAGGGTGACACAGCCCACAGTTAGGGTGAGTTTTCTCGACATGTGTGTCGTATGACTTTATATGTTGTCATGTGAGCTTTTCCTGGGGAGACATGAACAAATATCCACATACCCCCAGAGGGTACCAACAAACAGACCCAAGGCTAGTTTGTCAAACTGAAGGATGTATTGGGCATACTTACAGAATGAGTGATCCCCAAACAGTTGCATCACTAGATGCTTCCCCATGGCTCTTAGCCTTATACCACCACCTCCCAAGGACATGTGGTGGTTGGGATGCAGGAAGCTGAGTGGCCAGAATCTCGAGGTTCTAATGACCTCCCAAAACCTTCCTAACATGTGGGATGTAGACCGGCCCGATCAGATGGAGAGACTTGTGTGTGTAGTCACAACTGCTCTTGTTAAGATGGAGGTGATTGTTACGCTGAGAGGACAGCATTCCACAACATACATACATATGTGTTATTTATGCACGTGTGCACATTGGGTATGAAGACCAGAAGACAACTTTAGGTGTTACTCCTTAGGCACCTCCTCAACAGCAGAATTACAAGGATGCCACACATCATGCCATCTGTGTGAGTCCTGGGTGTCAAATTCAGGTCTTTGTACCTGCAGGGCAAGAACATTGCTAGACTGAGCTGTAGATGCATGATAATGACGCAGATGCTCCCGAAGGGTCCCCAGCCTGGCTGCCCTGCTGCCCACCTACCTGCTTCTGCCGTTCCCTTCTTGCTCACACAACACAATGATTAGGAATTATGCATCCACGTGTTTATGGCATGTTTTCAGTAGCTCTCTCTCTCGTGTGGTGTGTGTGTGTGTGTGTGTGTGTGTGTGTGCGTGCGTGCGTGTGTGCGTGCGTGCTCTCCAGCATACACACACAGGCAAAGCCCCTACACAATTTCTCAGCCAGTTATTATTTTGTTGAGCTATGTAAACTGCATCTTTTTGATCTCAGGTCCTCTGGATACCCTGACCCTCCCTTCTCTCTCTATTGTGCTTTCTCTTATGAACTGGGTAGAGGATTGAATCACATATTTTAAAGTCAAGTCATCTGAAAGCTTTTCTCCAGCTAAGCAGGATGTGCTTGCACAGACGTTCTGTGCACAGTCCCTGTTTCCTGATGGCTCTCTGCCTTGCTGCCTCCCTGCTTCAGGGTTGCAGGTGTCAGGAGGCTGCAGGGGAAGCACAGGTGTAGATGGTGGACTAGGGTGCCAATTCACCTTAGTCCAGCTTGGCCAACTCTGAAAGATCTGTCTGGACTTAGCATCTAGAAGGGCCGTGTGGCTCTAGGGCAAGAGCTCTGTGAAGATGACTTGTGAAGAAGGTGAACTGGGAAGATTCCTGGGGAACCAGTCATGGTGGTGTGTGCCTTTAATCTCAGCACTTAGGAAACAGAGGCAGGGTATTGAGGCCAGCCTGGTCTACATGGTGAGTTCCAGGACAGCCAAGGCTACCCAGTGAGACCCTGTCTTAAAATAATAGCTGTGACTCATTGTCTAGTGCTGTGTTCCAATTAGGCCTTCTCCCTTAGACCCAGTAGTAGTGCACCTATCTTTCTTGGAGATTGTTGGGCTAGCCTGAGGTTCCATGGCCAGCTTTTGCTCCAGGAAAGCAGTCCACATGGGGCTATCTGGTTGTGTGGATTAGCATTTTCAGCCTCAACATCATTCCCGTGTCTCTGGGGCCATTAACTTTCTCCCTTGGCTGTTCAGCCCTGACCAGGGGACACAAACTTTGTCATGCCTTTCTGTGGGATCTAGGGCAGGATAGAGTATGTGTATCCCTGTCAGAGCGCCCATACACCCATGGTCTATGCAAGGTTGTCACCGGCAGTCCCGTGTCCCTTTGCAGGTAGAGCATGACTTCATCCTGCCTGCTGAGCGAGAGACGTTCATCGAGCAGATGAAGGATGTCATGGACAAGGCGGAAGACATGCTCAGCGAGGACACAGATGCTGATCATGGCTCTGATACAGGGACCAGCCCTCCACACCTGGGTACCTGTGGTCTGGCCATGGGGGAGGTGAGAGCCCAGGTCCCCAGGGCATGCTGGTAGATGCAGCAGGCAGGAGGCTCAGGAAAAAAAAAAGCTCTCAGTGAGGCTGCTGACCTGCAATCCCTTTCCCTCATGCAGGAGAATGGACAGTCTCAAGCCAACGCCCCTGTCTATCAGCAGAATGGTAAGCCTATCCCGACAGCTGTACCTGGCCGAGTAGCCAGCCTTAGGAAGAGCCATTCATTTCCTTGCACCCTCTTGTTCTGAAGCAGGCATTTGACTGAAGGTCCCTGTTGAGCATAACAAGGACTTTGGCTACTGCACAAGGATTGTAGGAGTGGTAATGAGACTCTCTTAGCTGGCAATGGCTACCCTGTCCCACTAGCAGCTATCTTGGGGGTTGCAGGACCCCAAGGACTGAATAAGGCTCTTCTGAGAGTCTGTCTGCCAGTGAGGCCTCCTGGTCTACCCTACGTCCTTCTGGTTGAGAGGAGCAGATGAAAGCCCTTCCCTAAGGCCTCATTCTTAAGGGGCTTGGAGGGTCACCTGAGTCATGGAATGAAGCCATTGAGGCTTATAAATGAGAGCTTGAACTCCCTGCCTACTCCTTCTGGAGAAAACTCCACAGGCGGAATGTGCTTCCTAGAGCTCCTAATGGGGTCTGGTACAGTAGTAGGGTGCCCTGGCCTAGAGGTACTGGGTCCCTCTCAGCGCTTCTTTATGCTCTGTTTCTCAGTCTTGCACACGGGGAAGAGGTGGTTTATCATCTGTCCAGTGGCTGAACACCCAGCAACAGACACTTCTGAATCATCACCCCCACTTCCTCTAAGCTCTTTGCAGCCAGAAGCCAGCCAAGGTAGGAGTACACAGAGCCCAGACCCCCCTCTGTAGCAACCTAGAAGCTTCCCTCTGTGCAGCCCTGTGCTAGACTATGTTGGGTACCTGGCATTGTGCAAGGGGCTGCCGCCCCATACTGTCACCCCAAAGCTCAGGGCAGGCGACAGGGCCATGTTACCATTTCTCCCTGTTTTCCTCTGGATCAGCCACCAGGCAGCATTGGCTTGAGCTGGCCCTGTCGTCTTCACCACTCTGGTGATTATGTGCTGATGGGCTCTGGGCCCTTCCTACTCAGTACTGCCTAGTGACCCAGCCTGTCTTTGTCACCTTGGAGTACATCCACGGTGAACAGGCTCTCTGAACCCTGCTTTGCATGGGGAGGTGGGATTCTGAGACCACCTGATTCTCAGTTGTCACATGGATCACGGTGCTATTCAACTGCTCCTGAGACAGCCTGCACCTATCCCCACAGATGTCTGTAAATAAACCCTTCAGCACTGTTGATTTTTTTATGATACTTAGAAGGGTAAAGGAGTCATTGGAACAAACTTAAGGTTTAATTCCTCATCACTTGGCAAGAAAGAGTTGATCATAAAATAATTTGGTTCTCCATCATGCTACACTCATGAAAAGGATATGTAAATCAATTTTTCTCATTATCATATTTTTTTGGTGCATACCTTCATACTTTTGGAGATTTGTTACCACTGGAAGAAGGTCATCTTAATAGTAAAATCCAGTGACATATATGCTGGGAGGAGCAGTGTTCTGGCCAGGAAGATGTGCTCAGCCTAGCCTGAGAAGTCGGGGTCCAGTGACCTTACCTGGAAGGCTTACTTTCAAAATGAGGGTCTCTTTACACATTCCATTTTCCTTGCCTTATACACACTCTCTGATCCAAGGAAAGCCCTGTTACAAGGCGGGTAAATTTCAGTGCGCCATGGTATGTCTTCATGGGTAGTGACAGGGGCTAAGAGCACAGAGTTAAACCCTCACCCTTCATCTACATGCGGAATGACCCTGGGTACTATTCACAGCGAGTTTGTATATGGTAGGGGGGGCTGGGTAGAGAAATGGGTGGCAGATGTGTTCTTCTGAATTAACTATCCACAGAGAAGGACCAAAAAACTTGATAAGTTATGAAAATTACACTTTTGAAGGCACTGGAAATCTGAAGATAGTGAAAATGTATCAGATCCTAGGTAGTGGGGAACAGAAACTAGATATAAGACCAGTCTTGGCCCCTTTGCCACTGAGAGCGTCTCCCATCCTACAGGAGTGTCTGAGTGAGGTTGCAAGTGTCACACTAGAGAGAAGAGGTAAAGTCCAGGCCCTCTGTGTCTACTAAAAACTTAAATAGTATGTATATGTAGATAAACGGGTGGATGAGGGCTGGAGAGTTGGCTCAGTGGTTACGAGCACTTGCTGCTCTTGCGGAGGACCCAGGCTTAGTCCCCAGTACCCACACAGTGACTCACAACTGCCTGTAACTTCAGTTCCAGGAGATCCACAGACACTAGGCACGCACATTGGGGTTTACATATATGTGGCAAATGTATACATAAACTTCAAAAAATAGTTTAAAAAAAAGGAAGGTTGTGGTAGAAGATAAACTCGAAAGGTTGCTGTTTTAACTTCAAACTAAATAGACTTCTGAACAAAGAAAATGATTAGTGCTTAAAAGTCATGATTCACATTCATTAAAGGATCACTTTCCAAAGCACATTTAGAATCCTAAACTCGAGTGCATCTAGTAACAGAACTAAGCCTGGCATGGTAGCACAAGCCGGCAATCCTAGCTCTGGGAGTCTGAGACAGGAGATCACTAGTTTGAAGCCAGCCTGGGCTATATATAGTAGTGCAACCCTACTTCGAAAAAAATCAAAATAATAAAATCTTAACAGGAAAACAACCCCACTAGAACCGAAAGCAGAAGCAGACAGTCTGCTGCCGTAGTAGAGACCTCCACATTCCTCTCTCAGAAAGAAAAAAACAGCTGTGATAGCCAGTTTGACCTTCTTGACTTTATAGATCGTTCTGTGTGGGTGGAATGCACTCTTTATCAGACATGTAGAGAAATTACCCTGAATTATAACAGAGAAATCCAACATAGAAAACGTCAGCATTGTACTGATTACCGTCTCTGATAGAACATAACTGAGAGATGAGTGATTGGTTATCTGTGGTGGAAAAAAATAATCCTAAGGAGAGTCAGGATAGTTTGGAATGAACACAGAATAAGATGTGGCTAAAGTTATAAGGAAATACTATAGTACTAAAAAGTTAATAGGACAGCCTTCTGCTTTGAGAAATGAGGACAGTGAATGCAGAATAAATCCAAAGACAGCTAAGCCAAGACAATAAAGAGCAGAAGTCAGTGACATTTAAAATGAACACGAATACAGGATAAATCCAAAGACAGTGAAGCCAGGGCTATAAGGAACAGAAGTGAACAACATTGAAAATGAACAAAATAAGTGAAATCAGATAAAATCAATGAAGCCAGAAACTGGTTCTTTGGGGGGAAAAAATCAGTAAAGTTATAAACCTTTAGTAAAACTGACAAAAAAGATAATAAAATATCAATCTCAGGACTAAAAGAAACATTATAAAGGATAAAGGGTGTTCTTGGAGATAAAGAGCAAGCCCACAGATAAGGACCAAACAGCTGAAATGAAAAGGACTAGTTAATTCTGCAAAACCCACCGATTGCTAACACTCATCTACTCTGGAAAAGTTATACCACCACAGATCTATTAGAAGGAGAGAATCTTCCTCCTCAAAGACTTCTCAAGCCCAGGCAAACACCCCCACACGCTAGCAAGATCTAACGCCAGTTCTATAAAATCTCTTCAAGAAATCATGTCGCTGAGCAGATCAGCATCATCCTCAGTTCGTTTACAGACTTGAGAAATGGTTCCTGCTTCAGCCCGGGTAGTCTTTTCAGTGAGGATGCCGAATAATGACTTATTCATAGACTAAAAAGTGAACCTCACTCGGGAGGCAGAGGCAGGTGGATCTCTGTGAGTTCGAGGCCAGCCTGGTCTACAAGAACTAGTTCTGGGACAGGCACCAAAGCTACAGAGAAACCCTGTCTCGAAAAACAAAACAAAAAAAAAAAAGTGAACCTTGACCATAAGCCTCATGTCATATACAAAAAAATTAATTATTAACAAATCAAATATAAAATTTTTATGTGTGTTTATACTTGCAAGTTTCTTATTTTATTGAATTTAAGTTTTTTTTAAATCTATAAAGTACAAAACTCTAACTTTTAGAAGAAAGCAGAGGAAATCTCTCTCTCTTGAGGATTTCTTGACTCAGTGCTGGTCTAGAATTGCAAACAGCCCTGGGTTCAGCCTCCAGGACTGCATGCACCAGGCAGATGTGGTAGTGCTCCCTGCAATCCTCCTAGCAAGGGAATGAGAAGTTCAAGGCCAGCCTGAGACTCCCTCTTAGAAGGAAGCAAGGAGAAGGAAGAAAAATGAGAAGAAGGGGAAGAAGAAGAGACAAATCAGACAGTGTCAAAATTAAAGCCTTTTACTCTAAATGAGGAAATCCACAGACCAGAGAGAAGTTACCAGCAGCGCATACGACCAGCGACGATTCCCACCCAGCAGACGTGCAGAGCTCTAAGAGAGGAAAAGGCAAACCACGGCAGCTCAGTTGATGGGCGGGTGCATCACAGGAGATGCTGGATGCCTCGTATTGAGAAGGCAGTCAGTTCGTGATGACTCAGTGGGTATACGTGCTTGTCATCAAGCCCAGTGACCCAAGTTAGATCCTGGACCCACAAGGCAGAAGGAGAGAACTGACTTCCCTGCTAGTGCCACGGCATGTGTGCGTGCTCGCCCCAGATGTAAAAACAAAACACAAAGTTTTGGCAAGGATGTGGAGAAATGCGAAGCCCTCTGTACAGTCGGTGAGAGTGTAAATTAGTGCAGATATTATAGGAAGCGGCATGCAGGTTCCTCCAAAAGTCAAAAGCAGAACTCTTCCATGATTTAGCAGTCCCAATCTGGGTGTGTTCAAGTTAATCAAAAACAAATTCCGGAAGAAGTGTCTGCTCTTCTGTGTTCATGTAGCATCATTTGCAGTAGTCAAAGACGTGGAAACAAATGGAATGTTAGCAGATGATTGAACAAAGCAAAATGTGTATACCCAGTAGGCTGGTATTGAGACACTAAAAAGGAAATCCTGCCATTGGCAACAACATGAATATGCCTGGGGTGTTACGTTGAATGAAATAAGCAATTCACAGAAGCACAGATATGTCGCAACTCCACTTGTGGGAGGTTTCTGTATAGTCAGAATGAGAGAGCAGAGTAGAGATTGACAGGGCAAACAGTGGCTGTGCATCAGGTCTAAGGTTTCATTTGTTTACACACGCCAGGGCCATGCTGTGTATTTGAGCATTAAAAGAGTTGGTTTCATATTAAGGTTACCACAATCAGAAGGCCTTTCCACTTCCTCAGGGAGGAGGGAAGGAAGGTTCATGAGCATTGAGAGATTGCCATAGAAGGGACACCATCCCCCACCTTGGAGGTACCTCACCATCCTCTGTTGACACCAGAGGTTCTCTATGGCCAGCAGCATCTCTGAGTGTGCACCGAGCTGAACAAGGGCACCTCTGTACCTCTGCCCATGGATAGAAGAGCCTTCTAAACCATGAAAACAAGTATGTTCTTTAGAAGACATGCCAGTACCATGAAGACAACAGGAAGGAGAACATGTCAGTTATTGACCTTTGGTGGGGCAGGGATGGAGGATCTGCATGGGTCTGGGCACAGGAGAGGGGCTTTGGATCCTGCTAACTAGCCTACTCCTACCGCCTTTTTATGGTTTTCGTTGTGTGTGTATGAGAGACTATGCATAGGTATATGTTTGAACATGTCCATGTGGGAGTCTACCTATGTCTGTGTATGGAGGCTGGATGTTGATGTTGGGAGCCTTCCTTGGTTACTCTCCACTTCTTTTTTAAGGCATCCATATTATTTTTTGAGAAAGGTCTCTCATTGAACCCGGAACTTTCCAGTTTGGCTAGACTGGTTGTTCAATGGGCTCCAGAGAGCTACCTGTCTCCCCATATCCCCAGTACTGGGATTATAGGTGCATACCACCATGCTCAGCTTCTGGGTAGATGCTCGTGATCTAAACTCATTCTTATGCATGACTGGCACTATATCCATGGAGGCATCTCCTTAGCTACAGTCTTCCACATTATGTCCTGTCTATAAAAGGGCACAGGGCTTCTGTGAGTAGACGTGAGAAATGATGAGCTTCAAACAATATAGGTTTGAGACATAATCACACCCTGTGCCCTCTCTTTAATTCCCATCATAGTCCCTGTGACTTCCTTTAGAGCTTTGGGTGCTCTAGCAGAATACTGGTGAACTGTGTCTTCATGTGATCCCCTGTAGGCAGAGTTTTTGTTGGAACTGCCTGGCTCCAAAATAAACGCAGAAACTTAATTATAAATGGTCAACCAATAGCTCAGGCGTATCACTAACTAGCTCTTACAACTTAAATTAACCCATTTCTATTAATATATGTATTGCTACATGGCTCATGGCTTTAACTATTCTCCAGCATATCTTGCTCCCTCTGTGCCTCCTGGTGACCTCTCAGCCTTTGCCTTCCTCCTTCCTAGCATTCTCTCTGCTCCGAAAATCCTGCCTAGCTATCAGCCAATCAGCTTTTTATTAACGATGAGAGCAATACATATTTACAGTGTACAAAGATTGTTCCACAGCAATCCCCAGGTCCTTCACTCCCCAAATTCTTTTCCAATTCTATGTTCTGAATGTACCAAACACTGGGTATCTGATGGATTGGAAGGTTCTGGGTTCCACCTTGCTCTGGGGCATGGATAACTCACTGCTTCCCTCAACCCCTTCACTTTCTAAATTCATGTTCCAGTTTTGTCCAGCATAGACAAACAGTGTGGACATACAGGTGGTAGTGAAAAGACCATGTCTGACAAGTGCTGCAACCAGATGGTGAGAAAGGGATATTATGGAACACCATAGGCTACTCTGTAGGAGCGGAGATCCATAGGTGAGAACCATCCCTTCAGAGCTGATGACAGTGGTCCTGACGGAACTGAGCCTCTGGAGGAACAAAGATGAGTTTGCAGGAGCCCCAGCCAGGTAGTCAGTGTAGGCAGGGAAGGACCGGTTGAATAGGATCAGAGTAAGTGATGCCAATCATTCCCTTTTTTCTTCTAGACCCAGCGCCCTATCCAGACCAGCTGTCCGTGAAGGACAAACCTAGTTTCCCAGCTGCTCAGCAGCTCCTGAGCCAGGCAGGCTCCAGCAACCCTCCTGGTGGAGCCTCAGCCCCCTTGGCCCCATCTTCCCCTCCTGTGACTACTGTAATCCCGGCAGCACCAGCCACCAGCACCGTGCCAGAGTCAGCATCAGGGACTGCCGTGCAGGCAGGGGGTCCAGGGACTCAACAAGGACCAGCCAGTATCCACGAGACCCTCCAGCCACTGGTCGAGACTCACCATACCCAGTGTGCTGCCCAACCCCTCGCTACTGGTCAAGGACCTTGCACCCCAGCTCCAGAAGCCTCTCGCGGCTCCGCAGGTCTGGGGGAGCCCATTTCAACCAGGGATGTCAGCACTCTAGGGGAGCCCTTGCCTGCTTCAGTGCCAGAGCCCAGCCCCCCCATTGGGGCCGCACAGCCTGTACAGGGTCAGCCACCACCCTCACTGCCCATCACGGTGGGAACTATCAGCTTGGCAGCTCCCCAGCTCCCCAGTCCCCCTCTAGGGCCTACTGCTCCCCCACCACCACCCTCAGCCTTGGAATCAGATGGGGAAGGGCCACCCCCTAGGGTGGGCTTCGTGGACAACACCATCAAGAGCCTGGATGAGAAACTGCGGACTCTGCTCTATCAGGAGCATGTGCCCACCTCCTCGGCCTCGGCTGGGACTCCCATGGAGGCAAGTGATAGAGACTTCACCCTGGAGCCCCTGCGAGGAGACCTGCCCTCAGCTTTGAGTGACAGGACCCCAAGCCTCACCCAGCAGGCCCAGCCCTCAGTGAGTAGCTTGACTCACTCCAATATCCCCTCACTGGCTAGGACTGGATGTGGGCAGGCATCCCAGCTATGCAGGGCCTGGCTGGCTCTTGGTGACGCACCCGTGGTGTGTGGTGCCAATCGACTCAGCTCAATTTGTTCATATGGAAGAGGCAGGGCAGGTGAGGGACATTTCCAGCCATAGAGGGGTCACAGATCAGTGGTTTAGGGTGTAGTACCTAAGATGTTGATAAGCCAAGCTCACAGTTCTTCCATTTTTCTTCTTCCAGTTGGAAAAGTCAGAAACGGCCCCTGCAGGATGGGCCCTGACCCAGCGGGAACAGGGTGCGTCTTCTCCAATGACAGGTAACAACTCAAGGTCAGAGTAGTGCAAGCTACACTCTGCAGGTGCTGCAGTCCTCCTGGAGCCCAGAGCCTTCGTGCTTTGGGGGATGAAATAGCCCACAGAAGGAACTACTCTCACTGTCCCTGTCTGGCAAAGTGAAAGTTAGAAGAATAAGGAAGTGGAGTGCTAGTTGGACAGCTAAGGTTGTGGAGAGCAGCCCAGACCCCACTGCTTTTCTCTCTTCTGTACTCCTTGAGGGAGACTTTTGCCTAGGTTCATGGTTTGTGTGGTATAGATAGAGGTCAGAGGTTAACTTGTGGCGGTGGCTTCCCTCCTTCCATCATGAGAGTCTTGGGTCATCAGACTTGGTGGCAAGTATCTTAACCCACTGAACTATCTCACCAGCCCCTTTTTTTTTTCCTTTTGAAATAGCTGTGTAGCCCAGGCTAGCCTTGAACTTGCATTGATCCCTGCCTCAGCCTTCCGAGTTCCTGAGATCACATGGTTCTTGGTTTGTTACCAAACATTTGAGTCTCCACCCTAGGGTCTGATCCACCTTCTAAGGTGCCAGATTTCCTCATCTGGATTTCTTAGGGATTGGCAAGGTAAGAGTTATTGTCAGTACCAGGTGGCCCCCTCAGGTCTAAACTGCCTTCGTAGTGAGAGGTGCAGTTCAGCTCCACCTGGTGGACCCAAGGGGCAGCTGTGTTGATTCCTGGGCCAGTGCTTTAAGAGATCAGATGTAGTGCTTCTGTTGCCCTTAACCCAGTGCCAGCCTTGAGCTGAGGTCAGCATCCCAGATCTTCTATAGAAGGTATTAGAGCCTCTGTATCATATAAGGGGTATTACCAGTCACAAATCCACATGCTTCTCAGAGTTCAGAAGTCATGGTAGGCAGTAGAGGGATTGTTCCAGAAGACTGACTCATGATTCAAGTCCAATCAGGTGAACTTCATAACAGGAATGCAGTTGGCATGACGTCAGCCCCTTGTCCCTGGAGGTATACAAAGATGAGGAAGGGGATTAAGTCTTGCCTATAATTTGAGGACATAATAGAGACTGGATTCAGGTCTCCCAGAAATGTACAGTTCCTATATAGAGTCTACAAAGCACACTTGTGTGAGTCTGTGTGTCAGTTTATGGTCTGTCTTGGTGTGTGGTGGCTCCCCAGTCCCCCTGGAGGCTTCATTAGCATATGTGTACCCCCCAACCCCTGTAGCATGTGACCCAACTCTTACCCCCCCCCCCCCCCCCCCCCCCCCCCCCCCCCCCCCCCCGTCTGTGACTTCACTGTAAAAGAGTCTCTGCTCACATGCGCTTCTCTCTGGACTTTTCTCCATAGCAGCCCGAGAAAGCTTGCCTGTCCCGCTCTGAAAACAGGGGAGTGGTGTGTGTGTATGTGTGTGTGTGTGTATACATGTGTGTAGCAGGTGTTCCCTAGCTAGACCCCATAGATGTAGGGCTGGGATCTGCTCTACTGCATCCTCTGAGATCTAGAAACTGTTTCATCCACCGAAGTCAGAGTGCCCAAAGCAAGAGTGCTCCATCCAACACCTCTTCCCTTCCCCAGGCTTGTGGACGTCCTCCAGGATGTGATGTCCCCAAGATAGGGCACCACAGTGCATTCTCAGTCTTCAGGACCCCTGGAATGTCACCCCTCCCTGCCCAGCAGCCACACTCTCACCGCGTGGGCCTCTGGGCTGTAAGCCATTCTCTACTATTCTCTCTCCAGCCTCAGTAATGCTGTCGTGTTCCTACAGCAGAGTCATCTTCCAGCAACACACTGGGCTGTGACAGTGACACAGGGCAGGTGGCCTCAGACTCCCCCTCAGTACCCAGTGCCCCCCAGGTAAAGGTGACTCAACACACACTGGCCACAAGGGGGCAGGGCTCTCTAACCTCAGCTGGTTCTCACACACTCTTCCTTTCCACCCTTTCCTAGGATGCCTCTGCTGCCTCCATCCCTACACACATGGATCCCAAAGATCAGAACAGTAATGTTCCCAGAGAAGCCTTGGTTGCATCTGTGCAGAGTTGCCAGGGGACCGTCACAGAAGGCAGCCCAGCCCAGATGCGCGGCGCTCGGGTCTCTGGGTCCCCTCATAAGCGGCTAGGACAGCCGGATAGCAGTTCTCCAGCCAAAACTGTGGGCCGCTTCTCCGTGGTCAGCACGCAGGATGAGTGGACTCTGGCATCGCCTCACAGCCTGCGGTATTCTGCCCCACCCGATGTCTATCTGGACGAGATCCCCTCCAGCCCTGATGTCAAGCTGGCAGTGCGGCGGGTGCAGACAGCCTCCTCCATTGAGGTTGGCGTTGAGGAGCCTGCCTCCAGTGACTCTGGAGATGAGTGCCCGAGAAGGAGGCCCCAGGTGCAGAAGCAGTCCTCCCTGCCGGGTAGTAGCGGTGTGGCAAGTGACTTCGTGAAGAAGGCCACTGCCTTCCTGCACAGGTCTTCAAGGGCTGGCTCGCTGGGCCCTGAGACACCCAGCAGGGCAGGTGTCAAAGTCCCCACCATCAGCATCACCTCCTTCCACTCCCAGTCATCCTACATCAGCAGTGACAATGACTCAGAGTTTGAGGACGCAGACATAAAGAAGGAACTACGCAGTCTGCGGGAAAAGTACGTTTTGGGGGGCATGGCTCACCCCGCCAGGTGTGCATGTAGAGAGCTCACCTGGATAAGAGGGGCACAGCTCCCTTGACCAGTATGCAATGGAGAGGCTCGCCATCATCTGGGGGCAAGGCTCGTCTGGCTGGAGTGGGACTCACCCAGCCAGCATTGGGAGGGGATGGATGCTTAGGGAGGGCTCATCTGGCTAGGCTGGGCCTGGTCAGTAATGTTGGCTGAAGTTTAGTCCTGGCCATGAAGTGTCCACTGGTGGGTGCTAATCAGAGCAAGGGAACAGTGCAGAGGCCTTCCACCCTCCAAGCTGACGAAAGAGGCCCCATCTAGGATATCATTGCAATGGGACAGCCACGCTCTGCCACCTGCATGATTTCTGACTCCTCTGGGTGGCAAATCACCCTTCCTTTCTCTGTCACCTCCGGGAGGACATGCTAAGAGTCAGGAAACCTGTACCTTCCTCAGCCTTTGCTCCCTCCCCTCCTTCCCTCTCTATTGATTTGCCTCCCCCATCTCATAATCTGTCTTCTCTGCTTGTCTCTCACCCAGAAAGTACTCATTCTGCCCCTCAGTGGTCAGGGATCACTAATGCCCTAAGCTCTCCTTTGGGGAGGGAAGGTGGATTTTAACAGGAGCTCCTGTGATGGGGCCCATGAGACCCCGCCAGTGACTGAAGAGTAGAGGTTTATTGCAGCTGTCTAAATGAGCTCAGGAACTACAGGTACCCTGAGAGGAGGTCAGTAAGCCTACAAAGTTTGTGCAAGATTGTGTGGAGGGCAGGGCATGAAGACTGCCAGGCTTGGGATTCCTGGCAAGGTCATCCCAAGTGACCATAGTGGAACTTTTGTTGAGGTGAGAAAGTAGAGGAGAGGATGCCACCTGAGACCCCAGAACAGATCTATGCTCAGAATCTGGAAGAAGGGGTCGTGTCCACTGACCCAAGCAGCCCCATAGGTATCCAGCCTTCCTCTGGAAATACTGCTGTCTCTCTTTGCATTTGCAGGGAGAAGGCTACCTCCACTTGGTATTTTATTAGTTGGTTTGTGTATGTGTGAGTGTTCATGCGTGTGTGCACTCATATGTATTAGTGTGTATGTGTGCATGCACAGCTCTGTGTGCAAAGGAAGAGCTCAGAGGTCAAAATCAGGTGTCTTGATCATGCCCTCCCCTTAGCATTTCACTGAACGTGGGGTTCACAAATTTGTCTAGACTGCCTGACCTACAAACCACGGGAATCTTCTTGTCTCTCTCTCTCTCCAGTGCTGGGATTGCAGGTTTGCTGGCAACCCAAACACATGTCTTCATGATTGCGTGGCAGGCATTCTACTGACTAGCTCCTGGATATTTTATTTATTTGATTGTTTATTTTTATGTGTGGGTTGGGTGTTTATTTTTTCATTCAGGCATTTTACTGACTAGATCTTTGATATTTGTGTGTGTTTTTTGTTGTTTGTTTTTGAGCTAAAGTCTTTTTTAAAAAAATATTAGAGAACTAGGCTTAACACCTCTTCTACAATTCCAGTACTCTGGAGATTGAGCTAGGAGGATTGCTGAAAGTTCAAGGCTAGCCTAGGCTGCATATTGAGCCCCAGGCCAGCCAGGAGAACATAGAGAAACTCACTTTTAAAAGATTGGCCATCATTGAAGATACAGAAGAGAGGTTAGAATTTATCCTCTCAATTTCAGCTGTGAAAAACACCTGTTTCCCCAACACAAGAGATGGAAGAAATATTCTAGGTCCCATGTTGGGGGATGGTACCAAGCCTCCTAAGTGCAGTGAAGTTCAGCTCCTTCAGGAGAGTAGCAAGAGATGTGGCCACTGCATCCTTCCCTCCAGCTGTCCTAGAGACTTCCCTGCCTACACCTTGTTTCACCAGCAATCTACCTGCCTTCCACCTACATCATAACCATCACGGTAGCTCTCCGCAGTGGCCCAGTGGAACGATACGCCAATCCCAAATCTCATATGATGCCGTCCCTCCTCTAAGTCGGCTTCCTGCTTCTGCAGTTGCCTTGCATAGCAGAAATAACACACCTTGTCCCAATAAACAGGGGTAGGACAGCTGTGCATGGTGCCACACACCCATAACCCCAGCCCTTGGGAGCTAGAGGCAGGAGAATCAGGAGTCAATAAGCTTATCTTGAGCCACATAACAAATTTGAGGTCAGCCTTGGGTACAAGAGACCCTGTCTAAGAAAGAAAGAGAAAGAGAGATGAAGGAAGTTTTGATTCTACTAATTTTCCCTATCTGCTCTGATACCTAGGGTTTTCACTGCAAGTAGAAGTGTGGGTGCGGAGTAATGTCTGCCTCCTTGACTATGGAGACAGTTCAGTGGTCATGATACTGGATGTCTGAACTTCCACTATGTCCTTCACCTTGTTCCCACCTGGCTTAGTGCTGTTGAAAGTCTGCAGACAAGGTAGCCCAGCCTTTCCCTACAGGGGAAGCCCACCTGCCCTGCCTCCTCTCTCCTGCTCCAGGCATCTGAAGGAAATTTCTGAGCTACAGAGCCAGCAGAAGCAGGAGATCGAAGCCCTGTACCGCCGCTTGGGCAAGCCACTCCCTCCCAACGTGGGGTTCTTCCACACAGCACCTCCCATGGGCCGCAGGAGAAAAACCAGCAAGAACAAACTGAAGGCTGGCAAGCTACTGAACCCCCTGGTGCAACAACTCAAGGTCGTGGCCTCCAGCACAGGTCTGCTGCTTCTAGGGGAGGGTGTACTTGGGCTGAGGAGGGAGGGTACTCGGGGACCCCAAGTTAGCCTGAGAGGCTAGCTATGGGTTGGTGCAATATCTCCAAACCTGCAAGAGTGTGTGGGGTTTTCTTTTTCCTGCTCCTCTTTTACTGGAGCCGAGGGTCTTTGCGAGCCCACGGAAGCCCCAGGCTTCCACACTAGTGCCAGATGGAGAGACCCGTGTGAGAACAGGGGCTATTCAGAGCCAGGCCCTGGCCCCATTTGGAAGGAAGGAGCCAGTCCTGGACCACGTTGTACCTAGGAAGCCCCAGGGCACCCCATCCCTGCACTTCCATGCAGGATACAGCCTGGAATGGATGGAAGTGACTGCTTCCTCTGACCTCCTGCTTAGTGGATATCAGGTGGCTGCCTTTGTGGGCAGGGAGACGATGGGTTGTTCTCCAGGCCTTGCCATAGTGGTACCCAGTGCCCGGTGCTGCAGGGGCTAGGCACCAGTCCGTACCCTTTGCATGTTGGGGTTCCTTTGAGGCTTCCAGAGCTGTGCTGCAGGGTCTGCTCTGAGCGGGGAGGACCCATAAGCCCCAGCACCAAGTATGACCGATGGGAAGGCACTAGTGAATTACCTGCAAGCACTCCCTAATTTGAGCCACCTGTACAAGTGATACAAACCCAGTGCCTGTCCCAAAGCTGAGAGGAGGCGCTGCCGTGACTCACACAATGGCTACCTTGAGCCCACACCTATTACCTTCCACAGCATAGGTCTGGCATGCCACTGGGGGTTAGTAAAGGGGATGCTTTCTTTGATTAGCCCCAGCACTATAGACTAGGATCTTGTCTGTGTACTGGTTTTCTTAAGGAGACTCAACTTCCTCAAGGTCACCCAGCCAGAGAGTGGGAAGCCACCCCAGCCACACCCTTCCCTGCCCCTTGGCGCCTCATGGTGCCTGTCACCTCTTCTCCCCCCCTCGCCCAGGTCATTTGTCTGACTCCAGCAGAGGCCCTCCCACTAAGGACCCTGCCCACGCCAGCACGCCCCCGGGCACCAAGGCAGTTCAGACCCAGCAGCCCTGCTCCGTCCGGGCCTCCCTGTCCACAGACATCTGCTCCGGTTTAGCCAGTGATGGAGGTGGAGCGCGTGGCCAAGGTGATTTCCAGCTTGCCTGTCTCCAAGCATGTGCCAGCCACGTAGGGCCTCAGTGGTGTCCCAGGAGCACGCCTGTGTGTGTAGAGGGGGCCAGAGCTTTATAAAGAACAAACAAAACAAAAAAAAAAAAGGAAAAAAAATGTAAAGGTGTAGTCTTTGGGCACAAAGAATGGAATTGTCCCGCCATGTAAGCGGCTCAGAGGCAGGTGATGGGTTTGCTAAAGTGGACCTCAGGAAGTGGCCGGGACCAGGAGGGATCAGCCCGATGATTGGGGAGGGAACAGGGCCTGGCATCTTGCTGTGTTCTGCGATGCCCGTTCCTAGGCCTTGGCTACCCTGCCCTGCCCGCTTCCCACAGCAGAGCCAGACGGTGGTAAACACCGAGTCCTTCCAAAGTCCACAGGACGGCTAGGGGACAAGGGCTCAGCTCTCAGGCTGGGATGTCTGCTCATCACTGCCGTGGACGGCAGCAGCTGCTCGATAAGGCGCTTTCCTGTCCTCACCATCTCTGTCCAGAGAAATCATGGTGACTGATAAAGGTGCCCCACCTGCCCCACCCCTCCTCCTCCTCCGGGCCGCTTCTCTTCTGCTCCTACTGTTGCCTCCTCCCATTCTGTGGTCAGTGGCTTTGGTGCTTGGGCTGGGCTAGATGGAGCCATGGATGTTAAGTTACAAGACTGGTGTGGCTGTTGGTGTGGAGGAGGAATCGCAGCAACCTGTACTTGATAAGTGTCTCTCTGTTTTCTTCCCTTTATATTCATTTGCAGGCTGGACGGTTTACCACCCAACGTCTGAGAGAGGGGCCTATAAGTCTAGTAGCAAGCCTCGTGCTCGATTCCTCAGTGGACCCGTATCTGTGTCCATCTGTCTGTATTTGTTCTTTTGTATTTTCCCACCTCCTGGCCCTTGGTTTCTCCCCTCCCCACCCCGTCTTCATTACCTCTCATACATTTCATAGGATGCCACTCCAGCCCTTGAAGTCACCTCCTCCATGTAAAAAGGTGGACCCCACAAGCCTTTCCTACCACACACAGTGTCCATAGTCACCCAGCCACAGTCAGCTGTGTGCATGCTCTTGGCTGCGCCCAGGCACCAAAATCATGCGCAACAGCATACCTACCTCTCCCGTGGCCCCTCCACCACGTACACCGGGGCATTCTGCACCCTTCCCATCACCTCATTCCTTTTCTTTTCTTTGGATGTTGGACGTAGTTTTCTGTTGTAATTGTGGCCAGCATACATGTCTGCTGTCTCCCAGTTCCAATGACAACAAAAAGACAACCCCAACCTTCTCCAGATACCCAGTGTGTTACACACGTACCTGGACTCCCACAACGTGCATGTCGCAGACCGATGACAGCTCTGATGTCCCTGGAGGGTGTGACTTCTGTGTAGGGCCAAAGGCCAGCACCCAGCCCCATCTCCACCCTCTTTCCCACTCCCTGCATGTGGAGGTGCTAAGAATGTGTTTCAGGGGTCTCGGGGGCATAAACCAGTGGCACAGCCCTTGCCTAGCATGCAAAAGACAGGCCTCGGGTGCCATCCCCTGGACTGCAAAACAAAGGACTTGTTCCAGCTAGGGCTTCCTGGCCCTCTACCCTACCATGCAGGGTAGTCCCCTCTGCCATCTCTCCCTACCCTCTGCTCACGCCAACTTAGAAAGATTAATAGATACCTGCCCCATTCCACATAGTTCATGCGTTGGAGCCTGCATTCTGCCTGGGTCCCTGTTCTTTCCCACCCAGCTGGGGCACTCTGCTCAGTAAGTCTTCAGCTGACCCATGTGACATGAGGGATGAAGCCAGTGAGGCAGCTCCTTCCCCTTCCACCAGACTCACATCTAGTGCCAGCCTCCCTCACATATACTGGGACACGTTTCTAGTACCCAGGATGCTCACCTGCTGGGACCAACTCACCCTGGTGCAATTTGTTTTTAACCCTCACGATGATTGGCAAATCAACCCAAAGTTGTAGAGCTTTTAGGGTTTTTGTCTTTTTTAACTGAAAAAAGAAAAGAGTTTTTTGACAATTGGATTGGAGATGCTGGTTTGGGGCACATGACTTTTTGCTTGTACAATAAAGATACATTGTGCTTGTGGGGACCCAGAGACCATGTCTGTGGTAGGTGACCATTGCCATTCCCTACTCCCTGCATCAGAGGCCCATGCTGGGCCATCCTCCTCCAGGTGGACGTGCCAAGGGCACATGGCTATGTGGAAGTGCCAGGGGCTTCCCAGCATCTTCTTGTCTGTTCAGTAGTCTGCCCGCTGTGGCACAGTGACATCTGGCTTGCAGTGCGTCTCTCTAGCTTCCCGTCAGTTACTGAGTTGAGGATGAGAAGGGCTAGGAGGGCTCCCTTTGTGTGTCCCTCATATTTCTGCAGCAGGCAGTCTGTGTACCCACCTGCCAGCCTCATTCTGGCCCTTGCTTGCCTGATGCCTCTTCTGACTGTGGCTGGTGGGGACACAACTCATAAGAGGATGGTCACTAGGTGTGACAGCACCTGGAACTCTGGGTATGTCCTGTGCCCGGGGCAGAGCACATGACAGTTTGTCGTAGCAAGCTCAGTCATGCCTCTCTGAGGGCAGCTTCTCTAGTTCAGGTCATGTCTTTGAATGGTGTTCGTTGGTTTCACTGTGAGTTACTGGCCTGAGACTAAGAAACAGTGGGGAGAGGGGACGTCTGAACAGGCTTGGCTCGGTGGTTTCAGTTGTTACTCTGCGTGCCCATGGATTGCTGGTCCACAGCCTGGCCTATCAAGGCAGGCTGGGCTGGCTCAGCATCCTCTGACCCTTACATGTTCTCAAGTGGCTGCCAGGCAGAGCTTAGGTGAGTCCCTACTCTGGCACCTCTCACTGTGGTACAGTGTATGGAGAATCTTGGGCCAGTGCACTCTGGAAGTGAAGCCCAAAGGCTCTTTTATCCTGCAGGCTGCTGGCCTCCAAGTTTTAGGGGTCTAGCCTCTCGTTGAGACATCCGTTTGTATGTCTGTGTGCTGGTTTCTGGGTAAACTGTAGAGTGTCTTCAAGAGGAGATGCGAGGCCTGTGAGAATCGAGCATGGAGTATGAGTATTGAGTCGGGGGGGGGGGGGACAGGGAGCAGTGCTTCATGAGTGAGAGAGGATAAATGACGGAAGGGTGGAGCCTGGCCGTGAGGCTGAGAGGAGAGAAGGGCTCTCAGGGCAGAGTGCACAGGTGGCTGATAAGATGCTAGAGTATGCCTGCCTTGGAAGCTGTGTGATCCGGGAGGCCTTGGTCAAGCCTACACAGTATCAGTTCATGTCTTTGGCGTGTGACAACCCCTACTTCCTAGAGAGAAAAGGTGCTAAGAAAACAAAATATTCTTTAAACTTTTAGTACAGAAATATCTGGGCTTCCATGAAGCCCAGAGAAGGAAAAGGAGCCCCCAGGAGGGTAATTTGAGCTGGAGGACCTGTCTCAGGTGGAGTCAGGCAGAGCATCAGAGAGCTCCAGAGGCAGAGCTGGACGTGAGACAAGGGGCAGTTGGAGATGGGCTGTGGGTGGAAAGGCCTTGGCATAGAGCTCTGTTGAGACACCATTTTATAAGACAGCAAGTCTTATAAAAGAAAACATTAATTGGGGGCTTGCTTATAGTTTCAGAGGTTTAGTCCATTATCATCATGGCGGGGAGCATGGTAGCATGCAAGCAGATACGGTACTGTAGAAGGAGCTGAGAATTTAACATCCAGATCCACAGGCAACAGGAAGAGACTGAGATACTAGGCCTGGCTTGGGCTTTTGAAATGTCAAAGCCCATTCCCAGTGACACATTTCCTCCAACAAGGCCACACCTATCTCCTAATCCTTCTCAAGTAATGCCATTCCCCAGTGACTAAGCATTCAGATGTGTGATCCTGTGGGGACCATTCTTATTCAAACCCATCATAGGCCTCCAGGGAGTGTGGACCTATATCAGTTCCCTCCTCCCAGTCTGGACAGGGTCCTGGCACAGATCCAATGGCTCACTTGCATGTCCCTTCCTATGGTAGACCATGGCATTCAATCAGACATATTTATTCTAAAACAACGATGGCCATGGAACTGAGGAGGAAAAATTCAAGTCAGAACCCAAGGCTGAACTTGGGTGTCTGCTCGTGAGAAACTGTGGGTACAGCCTACTGAGACACTTGGTTTGTGTCCTATCCTACCCATGCTCGGGCAGGCATGGGCACCTCTTGTTTCTTGCTGTGCCATAGGAAACATGAGGTCTCACAATGTGTTGTTACGTCATCCTGTTCTCATTTGCCTCAGATCTGGTGTGGGAACCCTCGGAAGCCTTCCCAGCCTTTTTCTCTCTGCATTGTTCATATCTCTTGCTGGTGGTGAGAGAGTCCAGTGAGGTCCCCCAGCAGGGCACACAGGAGACCTCTTACACACTCCGTAGCCTAGGCTTACCATAGAGGGCTGTGAAAGCAGGCATGTTGGCTCCAGGCTCTGTAAGACCCAGGATTATACAGCTCAAGGCCTAGTAAAAATGGTTTCATGATGGAGTAAACCATATCTTGTTTCTGAACTGATGCATCCTGGGTAGTTTTTTAGTTATTGTCACCACTTGAGAATAAGGATTGTTCAATATAGAAACAGCTCTGGGGGTATATTAGCCCTTGATATCAGAATTGGGTGGAGGTTGAGTGGGGGTTGTCTAGTGGTCTGTAGTTAGAGCTGGCCTGTGGAAGGTTGGGATGGGGATGAAGCTGAGACACTTGGGCTGGCTATAGGGGACCTGGTACCAGGAGGGCTGACTCCCCAAGGAGGCCTGTTCTATAAACCTCATCAATGTTTGAATACTGGGATGCAGAGAAGAGATGTGAGGCCGGAGCCCCTCTTTTAAGTATTTGTCCTTGTCTTTCCTCCTGAGCTTTATATCTGCCATGCTTGAGAAGTTCTTATTGCCAGCTAAGGTCCTCAGGGTGGTGATTGTGAGACTCTGGAGAGGAGGTGCTGTTCACCCACGTGTGTTTCATGGTTTGAACCAAAGCATATATGCAGAGACCTCACCTCACTGCAGGGACAAATGGGATATCCAGGGAGATCAGGCTGGGACTGGTTGAAACCATCCTGCCTCTGCCTGGTTTGATCTGCTCACCTAGTGCTATCCTGGCATAGTAGTAACGGGGGCCAAGCTTGTTCATCAGATGCCCCAGGTAGAGACCCTGTCTGTTGGTATACTGGGAGCCATCTAGGGATATGCAGGACTTTCAACATGGAGTCTTAGATGTTCCCCTGAGACTTTGCACCAAGTCCTCCCAGAGAGCGGTGTGGCCTAAGTGTTGACATAAAATGACAAACACTGGCTGATTTGGCCATGGTCACCTGAGTCTGGAATCCAGGAAGGCCAACCAGAGCACTCACTCCCTCTGGCATTCTACCCAGTGTGACAATAGCCACACAGGGTCCCAAATCCACAGCCCCCTTTCCTCCAAAAGTAGACTGAGATTCCTTCCCCACAACACACAGTGTCTTCCAAATCCCTCCTGTTTATCTCCCCTCTTTCAATTTGAAAATTGAATTACTCAACAAATACCCCATTGCCCCACTGTAACCTTAGAAACCCATACAGAATAAACTAAAATGAATAAATCCATTGCAGCTGTGCTTCGGGTCCGATACACAGGCTAATTCTGACTGAGGTGTGGCCAGCGGTCATGCCCTGTCCTATCCCTCAGGGCAAGAGTGCCAGGCCTATGAGCCAGTGCCTTGTGTGAGAGCACCCCCTTCCTGGAACATGTGTTTCGGAGAGGGGAGATGGGGCTGGAATACAGATCTGCTATGCTAGTGTGGCTTTGCCAATTGACCTTGGGGAAGTCTGAGCTCTTCCTTGCCACTTGTGGCTCCCAGAGTGGCCATAGGTTAAAATAGAATCACAGTGCATGCTGTAGCCCAGGCTGGCCCTGGGTCACTGGGTTACTCTACCCCTCTACACTGCCAGATGTCACATTCTGTATGTTGCCCATGGGACCCCAGACAAACTCAGGACAGTGGGGCTAGAGCTGTTTTAGTGATCATCCAGTAAGGCTGCTTCCCATGCCCGTGGGGAAAGTGAGTTGGCAGAGAAGAGGCATGATGTCTCCCCAAATCCTTATCAACCCCAAGAAAGACTCACTAATAACCCTTCTAGATGCCCATCTGACCTAGTCCAAGGCAGCCATCTGGGATCCAGAATTGGCCTCAGACCTGCAAAACAATGTATCTTTTTGCACTTGGAAAACCTCTGGTGGCCTTGGTGGCCAGCCCAGGCTGAGCCTGGCTCCATTCGGGGACCCCATGGCTGACTTTCAGTGGGTTTCCCTGCCTCAACCAGTGGGACTCACAAAGGCCTGGTGTTTGAAACCCATGCAGTGTGCTTTGCAATTTTTTTTTTTTTTGGGTTTGTTTTTCTGGTTTTTCTTTTTTCTTTCTCTTTTTCCGGAATATGCTTTTAGAGACAAAACACTTCTCCTTGAAGCTTGGGGGCTTGCCCTGGCACCTCTACCTCCTCAGCGAAGGCCATAAGAGCCTGCACACGAACTCTGGGGATGTCACCCCCTTCTCCCAGGCCAGGCTGGCCTCCCTCTCCGACTGCTGCCTGTGTCTGTCCCTCCCTGCACACTGATGACTTTTGCTTACACGTGGTGTGTGCTGTTCTGCCTAACTCTGTGGTCTTGTGTCCTTTGTTCTTCCCTTACAGGGTCAGCCCTGAAGCGTCTCTGCCTAGGCAAAGAACACAGCAGTAGTAATTATCTGGTTTTTGTGTTTTTTTTTACCCCCTCTGTCCCCTCTCATCGCATGGGCTTTGTCGTGGCTAGTGCGTGTCAGGGCCTCCCACGGACGTGTGGCCTGTTCTGCCCCTGACCCACAGGGTTCTGCTTCGCTTCTGCCTGTCTGGATAGCTGCTTCCTCCCAGCTCCTCTTTGTGTCTCCATGGTTTCTAGAGTTTGTGCCATCTTGCCAGTCACTTCTTAATAGGCCTGTCCTTCTCCGCAGTGTCCGCATATTAGTGTTTATTAATTGGGTCCTTCCAAAACCTTAGGCTTCAGAGCTTCTTTGAAGTGTTAATAATGAGTGTTTCCCAAGGAGAGATACCAAGACTGGAAGGTTGTTAGTCGACCTGGGCCACTCACACACACCCCTTTGCTCTTTCTTTCTTGTCTTTTTGTTTTTTAATCCCCTTCATCTTTTTTTTCCCCCCTGGCTGAAAACCTCATGTAGCAATAGCTGTGTGTTGAGTCTCATCACTAACGTGTAACCCTCTGTTTATGCTTCCCCATTGCTGGCCACTAAAGTTCACTACATTTTGGAACAGCTTGTTTGAAGAGATGGTCATTAGCTGTCTGGGATTTTTTTTTTTTTTTTGGTGATGTGTATAAACATTTTAAATTGGCTTATTCAAAATTGCTAGGTGGAATTACGTGCATGGGTAGGGGAGGAAGGGAGGAGGCAATTCAATAAGTCCTGTGTGGGCCATAAAAACAATCTCTCACAGAAGCAGGCAAGCTCTCTAGTCTGCAGAGTGACTCCTGGCTCCCAGCCTCCCAGTATCACCAAGCTGTGGCTCGGAGGGTGTGGAGCCCACCCGAGGGACTCTAGGTGTGGTATCTTTTATTACCACCTTTCCAAGTGCTCGCATAAGAAAAGGCACCATTTCCTTGTCTTGGGTTCCAGCTAAAATACACAGGAGCACAATAAACAGTCTGCCCAGGGGGTGCTGGAAGGCTGGTGGTGGCACTCACATGCTGAACATTCTACAAAGTAGGCCAGAGAGTGCCCTGAGATTCTGCCCCTGCCCCTGGGATGCCAGTACCCATGTGTATCTGGCTGTGCCATGAGTTCCCCATGCTCTCACGTGTGTGAGTCTCGTGGAATATGTTGTGGTAGGTCTATGGGAGACTGTTAATGGAGACTGCCACCTGCTCAGGGTCATCTTCCTGGCCTGGCTTAAGAAACAAGTGAGGCTGCCTGGCACAGCCCAGTCACCCATAGCCTACACAGAGCTTCATGGTGCCTAACACCAGGCAGCAAGGCCCGCTGATGCAGACCGCCTCTTGAAGCAAGGTGTTGCTTGGCCAGAGTGAGGCCATTGATTGTCCCAGCCATCATGTGAGAATGACTGCGGCCAGCCTGTCAGTGGTGCTGAGTGAGTGTGTGGCGTCACCAATCCTGGCCTATATGACTCCCCAGGGTCTTCCACCAGCAGCCTGGCCCCAGGCCCTGAGCCAGGTCCTCAGCCCACCCTGCACGTCCAGGCACAGGTGAACAACAGCAACAACAAGAAAGGTACCTTCACCGACGATCTGCACAAGCTGGTGGATGAATGGACAACAAAGACGGTGGGGGCGGCGCAACTGAAGCCCACACTCAACCAGCTGAAGCAGACGCAGAAGCTGCATGACATGGAGGCCTCTGGCGAGGCACGGGCTGTGAGTGAGCAGGGGCACAGGCTCTACTGGGAGGGATATGGTAGGCATAGTGGCTATGAGCTACTGCTGGAATCCCATGTGCCAGATGGCCATCATGCTAAGGACTTGACTTTCATGATCAGGGTCCATCTTCTCCAAAAGAATTAGGCCTTGCTGGGTGGTGGTGGCGGCATGTACTTTTAATCCCAGCATTCACAAGGCAGAGGCAGGTGGATTTTTTAGTTTGAGGTCAGCCTGGTCTACAGAGTGAGTTCCAGGACAACCAAGGCTACAAGAGAAACCCTCTCAAAAAAAAAAAAAAAAAAAAGAAAAAAGGAAGGAAGGAAGAAAAAAGAAAAAAAAAAAGAAGTAGGCCTTTGCCCCTGTGGTAAGTAGGAGGTAAAAGTGACTTCCTGTGGTCCTTGTGGCCAGCAGGGAACAGGCTGTGCCTATGACCCTAGAACTCGGGTACAGCAGAATCCTTAGGCAGTCCCAAGTAGGTCACACACCTTCTTTGTGGATAGACACACCTCCATCTGCATTACAGCCATTTGTCTCCGGGCTATAGGAAGGGCAGGTGTACCCCTCACTCCTGAGTGGCAGCTGCATCCAACTGGGGCCAACATGAGACAGGACACCCTTGCAGGTCTTGGCACACATTACAATTTTGGGAGAGCTAGCTGTAGGAGTGTTCCCACTTTTCCAACTTTCTGGAGGAATTTGTGGAAGATTGGTGTTATTTCTACCCCCAAACGACTCCCGAAGCTCATGGGCTCATGGGCTGAAGTATCTTGTGGGTGCTGTTTTCAGTGTGGAACACATCCCTCTGTGAACTTAGGCTTTGAATCCTCCCAGACACACAAGGAATTGGAAGCCTGCTGTGAATATTGCTTGCTAGGTGATGCTGGCAGAGCTCAGCACACATATGTCCAGCTCTTGGGGAAGGCTTTCCTTAAGAATCTGGTTTCTTTTCCAGTCCTAACGCCATTTGAGTGTTCTGTCATGACAGTCTTGTTAAATTCTGCTTCCCTAGTAGTTACTACTTCTTCCCTAAATTTGCCTAAACTTTCCAATCAGTTGCCCCTTAATCACTGTAAGCCTTTTGTTGCTGTTTGCCAGATCCCCAGGCTGTGTGTCATTCCTGGTGTTGGTGATTTATGCCTCACTTCTTTCTGTGTGTTTCTGTCTCTGTTCCTCTGTGTCTGTCCTTCCTTCCTTTCCTGCCTTTTGTCCTTATATCTTAAGGCTTTGTTAATTTCATGAGCCATTTCAAAGAACTTTATTATCTTTGATGGTATTCTTTGCTGTATATTTCCTTCATTTCTAACTCTTACTATTTCTTTCTCTCTCTGGCTTGATGTTCTCTAGAAAGTTTCTTAGGTTTGACTGGGAATTGTTGGCAGAGTGTTTGCCTAGTATTAGTGAGGACCCTGGTTTGGGCCCCCAGCACTAGAGTAAAACAGAAAAACTTCTTAAATTGGCCAGGCCACTAATTCTAGCCTTTCTGACTCTTGCAGAGGACTCAAGTTCATTCCCCAGCACCTATGTCTTGAGGCTCACAACTGCTTGTAACTCCAGCTCCAGAGCATTGGGGGCCCTCTTCTGCCCTCATAGACACCTGCACAGAGACACATATGCACACACACATACACATAAATAAAAAGTAATTTTTAAAAAGTTTAAAGTTCTCGGCCAAATGTCTCAGTGATGCATCTCATTTACACAGTCTCTTCCGGTTCCCTGGTTTCCTTCTTCCCACAGCTTCACTCCTTGGTTCCTTGTCTCGCCTTGTGAGGTTGTAATACTGTGTGAAGGGTATTGTGTTGGAAAAAGTTATAAAAATAATTGGAGATCTAGACTTTAATTGTCTTGATTTGTCTTTGAGCACACACGTTTTATTTTTAGCAGGCATCTTCTGTAGAGTGCCTGGCCAGGTAGGTGTGTGTGTGCACACGCATGCATGTAGTGATTTGTATGTATGCACATGCTTATATGTAGGCATGTTTATGAAACCAAATGCCAACATCTAGTGTTTTTTCTTTCCCTCACTACCTTCTCCTTTTTGAGACAGGGCTTCTCTCTCCAGGCGTCCACCCTTCTCTGCCCCTCCCCAGTGCTAGGGTCACAGATGTGTGCTACCACACCAGACTGCAGGCACTAGGAGTCGGCGCGCAAGCCCCCACACTTCTACACAGGAGCTCTTACAGATCTCCAACCTCCTCTTCTACTTTTTGGTACTGAGCATGAAGCAGAAGACTTTTCGTGGTTTCTTCTTCTTCTTCTTCTTCTTCTTCTTCTTCTTCTTCTTCTTCTTCTTCTTCTTCTTCTTCTTCTTCTTCTCCTCCTCCTCCTCCTCCTCGTCCTCCTCCTCCTCGTCCTCCTCCTCCTCGTCCTCCTCCTCCTCCTCGTCCTCCTCCTCCTCTTCTTCTCCTCCTCCTCCTCCTCCTCGTCCTCCTCCTCGTCCTCGTCCTCCTCCTCCTCTTCTTCTTCTTCTTCTTCTCTTCTCCTCCTCCTCCTCGTCCTCCTCCTCCTCCTCCTCCTCTTCTTCTTCTTCGAGTTTCGCTGTTTTAGCTGTTGTCTGGGCCATAGTTTATCTACTTGTTGCAGTACCTTCCTTTCCAGTCCCAACAGCCTGGGAACAACACTCTTGTTGCCCTGCTGCGGCTTTGCAATAAGCTTACTATTCGGCGGGCTAGGACATCCACTGTTGAACTGCAAGAGCCTCTTGGTTTTTCTGGGTCCTGAATGTTTGCCGTTCTTAAGGTAACCCACTGGAGCTTCTCTTAACGATGAATTAAGTCTTTCAACGAACAGGATAGGTTCTCCATATTGAGTGTCCCATCAGCTTGGCATCTGTTTCTTTACATCTTTGTAGGGTGTTAATATCTCCCATCAAACCCCTCCCGAGGTGGTTGGTGATTGGGAGTGCTACAAACTGTGCAGTCCTGAAAATTTCACGTCCCCATTGAGTGTTTCTAGAATGCAGAAATGTGGCCAATTCTGGTGCCTAGAAGCCCGTGGTCCTGCGAAATTTGCTTGTTCAGCCTTTCCTGTGGGTTTCTCTACGCATAGTCTTGTCTTCTGCTATTATGCGGTTTTTTTCTTCTCTTGTCTCACCTTGGCTGGGTCCCCTCACAGTGTTGACCAGAAGTTTGAAGGCATTTTGGGGAAGCGCCTAATGTTACCCCCTCTGTAGGTACGGCTGCTGGCTCCATGGAGGCCTTCACTGCTGAGCATGCCTCTGTAAAGGGTGTGGGGCTTGATGAGTCCCCATCCTGCCTTGTA